CTCAAAAAGTCAAATTAGCCCGAGCAGAAATCTTGGTACCGCCACCGCTTTTAGTTTAAACCTTGGTATTTCTATGCGAGTATTTAGAGAATTTAGTGAGGTATACCTATCCTTCAGACGGATTGCTGTAGAAACGCACTGCAGACTACTGTATTCTTTGGAGCGTCATAATGAGAAATCATAAAATTCGCTTTGACAACCGGGCCGACCCGCACCCCTCAAAGTGACGAGCAGGAAGATCGTCCGAAAATAAGCAAAATTTTTTTGAGAGGTAAATAAAAGTGGCGTATTGCACCATTGGCGTGGATTACTGTAGAGGCAAAGTCAAACTACCATATTCTTCAAAACAGTGTTATGAGAAATCATGAGAGATGCCTTGGTAATGGAACGATCCCGCTCCCATTGCGAGTTTACGAGAGTAAAATCGTTCACAAGTATGAATGTTGTGTAGTGAATAAAACTGAGATACTTTGGATGTGATGCAGATTCTGCATTCTCTAGAGCCATACAGTCAGGGTTCCCTTGACAATCGGGACGACCCTGCTTCGGCAAATTTACGAACAGAAATACTGTCTAGAGTACACAAATTTTGTATCCGGGTGAATAACCGTGACGTAACCATCTTAACGTGGTACTGCAGAGATGTAACGCAGCAAACTGTATTCTGTTGGGAAATGTGATGAGAAATGGTAATGATTCTTTCCTGAATAAAAACCGTTTTTTTTTTCGAATAGTAAAGTGCTTCAAACTGACAATGCACATACTAATGGATTGTAAGATGCTTTGGGGTGATAAAAGAAAGCCTGACTGCATGTTTTGATTGCAGGTTATGGATGAGAAAATGTATCAAAATCCTCCCCCTCTCCTCAATCAACGGTCCACATTTCCAGATTTTTTGCCAAATGAAAACCAAGAGTTTCTACATATATTAGTTGTCTAATTCCAGAATCATGGTAACAGAAGGCTTTTACAAGAGGCTGAAACTCTGGAATAGATAAGTTATCGCTGTTGGGGAAGCAACACGGAAGCGTGGCCACCGCGTGATGATGACAGCGAACTGAAACGGAGCATTCAACGCATTATAAAATAGAGGGTGGGCAGGGGCAGAGCGAGATAAGCTATATAAATGTTTGATTCTAAAGCCGTCCACAAGCTCAGCCATCACATCCTACACATGCATATGATTACAAGAAAGTCCCAAGACATGAGACTGCTTCCGCATAGAAAAAGAAATGAGGAAGTAAGGGAGAAATGCATGAGGAGCCGCTTCGAAATGAAAGTCTGGCCAAGTGACGCAATCGATAGGAAGGCGAAGCGATGCAAACGAGCAGACAGTCAACAGGGGGAACAGCTCTCGAAATGTTACGAACGAGGGCGCTGCGTTGAGACCGGCTTCCGGAAATACGGAAGCGAGTACACTGATTTTTCGTCTCTGTAGTAACCAGGCAAACAGTCGTAAACATCTTTGCTTTTGGATTTTGCAGAGGCTTGAGTTTTAAAGAATGTCTTAAGAAATGTGCACATTGTTTGATCGTTTATAGCTCTCTTGCTTCAAAGTTTTTGCCGATCCGGGTAACATTCTGTAAAGCATACTCCGATTATCTCTAGATCTCAAAACTCCGTCTAAGGAAAGGGACGAAACGGAGTAACAAATTAAAAAACTATCTTTCTTATTATTAGATTAATAGTCTAGAGCAAGTTACCGATCGTTGCTCGTTTCTGTAAGACTACGGTAGAAACTTTCAGGATACAGCGGCACTGTGATATCGGCCGTTGATAAAAAAAATCTTAATTTCTGGAAAATCGTGTAAGGGTGTTCACACATATTGACTTCTTACACAACTTTTTAGAGGTCTTCTGAGCTTTTTCGATGGTTTGATCGCATTCAAGAAAATTAGTAGAAAAGCAGTGGTCACGGTTTGCCTGGATCAAGTTATGAAGGAAGCATATTGTATGCAAATTTCATATTCAAAATTAGCGATTTCTGTTTGCTTGGTATAAACAATTTTGGCTTATTCGATTTGCTCTCTGCGACTTTTGATGGCTTGGAATCCTCTTCAAGTCCCTACCGTAATCCTACAGTGACGAAGATAGACCAGAGATTAGCTCCATACAGGTCCAAGTTGAAGCCAGCTTTACAGAATGGTACCTAAAAGTAAAACCGGAAAAAAGGCAAAAAACCTTGAAGGTAAGAGTATCGAACAAACAGTACGCATTTTTTTCAGATTTAGAAATATCGGCCAGTAGTGCCGTGGAAGTGTCCAGGAGAATTACAGAAAGCAAGAAAAAGGGACTGCATTAAAACGTTTGCGCTGTAAAGATTGCCATCTCAGTCAGTGGCGTACTTATTTCCCTCCGGGAGGGGGGGGGGGGGTGTGGGGCACACAAAAAATTTTCTGGTGAAGACTCCGAGAAAATTATTGGTATGCTTCCCAAAATTTTTGAGGGTCCTTAACCTTAAGATTTCAGAATCGAAAAAAAATTTTATAAGGCTAAATTGAATTTAAAAAAAAAATTCGAAAAATATTTTAATTATTTACAAGAATAAACAAGTCACTTGCACATTTTAATAGCTCATGTAAGTAACTTTCAAAAATTTCTCGACCCATTCTCGGGAAGGGGGTTCTCCTCCTTCGGTACGTCACTGGGCCATATATTGGCAACCTGCAAACATCTTGTTGAGGAAGCACGGTAGGATCTTTTTGGCAAATGTCGTACAGAGGGAAGGGGGGGGGGAATTGAACCTTCAAATACCCTGAAATCTTAAAGATCCCGCTTTTTTAAAAAGACAAGACAGCCTTAGGACCCTCCAGATGAGTCCGTCTTAGAAATAAGTCCTTTTCCATTATCATTAACCTAAAATCTTGTCAGATAAGTCCGGAGTCTGCCAGAAGGCGGACGTATCTGCAAAGGGACTTTTCTGATGGGCGACCCTATCTGTGAGATTCTAGGTTAAGCATCATGAAGCTTCGCTGAACTTTCGCAGGCTTCTAACGAATCTACAACTCATTTTGGTCTACTGAAGATTTTCTTCCCACACTTGAGCGAGGGGGAGGGGACCTGGCTTAAGAAAGGTGGTAAGGGTTAGTTGTGGGATACGCAGTTGTTTAGCTGCTCCGTGAGTGACAGGACAGTGTTTTTGGTCAAAATAGCCGTTACTTATGAGTTTTATACACCTCTGTAGAGAGTCACGCTGATCTTGAATTCCGTCTTCGATATATGCTCCTCTGATGCCGAGTTATGAACGTTTTTTGGGTCAAAGAATTGAACGCGCAGTTAGACTAGAATCATTCAAAACACGTTGAAACGAGTCAGTTTTGGATATGAGATCTATGGACATCTGTCATTTGTTATTTCCCCACTCATCACTGCTCTATATAAACGTTGAAGAGGCTGTAATGACTGATTTTGTCCAGACCATAAGGTCCTTTTTTGCACCAAAAAACCTCACAGCTCGGCGCCCAGAGAGCAGATATTGAAGACAGATTAATCAGCGACTGATTTTCTACAAAACGATATAGAATCCACATGTATATGTCATTTGAACCCAAAACACATTCCTTATGAGACTTTACCAAGAACTGTAGTAGTATGTCTGCAAGTCACCTGCGGAGATACTACCAAAGTAAGCAGTTCCACGGAGACTCTGACATCGGAGAAGATGGAAACTTTCGCCAAACCTAGTGTACGGAAATCTGAATGGTAAGCACAGGACTTTCAAAAGTATGCTTTTTCAACTTGATCTTTACTCTCCAGCACCATTTGCTATGGTAGTGTCAGGCATATAGAGCTAACTATTACATGGATCACCAAATGTATAGACACACTGTTTGATTCTTCATATCTATCTTCCCTTAAAGTGTTTTGCCGATTTTCGAGTTTCATTGTATAGAGCTGGTTTCACTCGGATACACTTACAGTACTGAGCAATTTGCTCTACATTAATGTAGATTTACGGTAAGAAATTAGAAAGGGATTTTGAGCTTTGCGGGCATGTCTTGCCTCAAAGAGGGAACCATACAATGAACAATCAATAACTCTCACACTAGGGTAATCGCAGTCGCTACTTTGAATATGATTTCACTTTTCCGTAGTGCTTCTTTCATAACTTACGTCAGGTTTACAGTAGCAACGGTTTTTTGTCTATAAGTTTTTGAATGCAGGTCCAAAAGCTCGAAAGGTCGCAAAAAGTTGTGTAATGATATTAACGTGCGTGAAAATACTGTTTCACTACTTTACAAATTTTTTAGAATTTTTCTTCAAACGCCACTTCACAATGGGACATGCTGAAAGTTACTACCGTAACCCTGCAGTAATGAAAAGAGTTTGGTGAGGCAAAAGAGTTAGTGAGTCACCTGCACTCAGCAGCGCATTTTCATCCTAAAAATGTGTACGGAAAAGTTTTCTCATATTTGTTCCAACAGTACACCTTTGATTGCTCAAAGCAAGGCATTGTGATAAAAGCACTCGTAGCGCCAACCTTATGCAGCATTTCAAAAGTATGCACACATTGTTTGATTGTGAACTTCTTTTTCGGTCTTTAGCAGACTTAGGGTTATTCTGTAGAGCTGACTCTAGCTTTTTGCAGTTCAGAGCGGCTCAACGACCTCTTTTTGTTACTGTAGGAATACGGTAGGAACTTCCAGCATGGAACGCCCTGCTGAACTATGTCCTCTCGAAGTATCTGTAAGACGCCTGAAACATTTTGTAGAAGAGCTCATATGCACGTTGATGTCACCAGCCAAATTTTACTAGTTCCATCCAGCGTTCAGAGTGCTATGCATAAATCCCCCAAAGACATCAAGGAGTCGAATAAACACTGTATACCAGGACATACTGAATATGAAGCTCTAATTCTTTTGTTTGAAATTAAAGTTAACAGAAAGACATTCTGAAGAAACCCTCTTGATCAGCCGTGTCCATCATGTTGACAGCGCTGCCTCTGAACCCATACGGGGTTGATAGCTTGCTTTGTTACCTCCCTGTTAAAATTCGCAAACCTTTGAGAAACTTCACATCCAATTCCCTACACATTCCTGAGCTGATTGACGACCAAGGCATTTTCATGGAGATGCGGCCAAATTTTGATACTGCAGCATCTGCGGGCATAGATAGTATTTAGAAACATAACTTGCACGAAATTGATTCCAAAGTATACATACTTTTGAAATGTAGAAGAATGGAGGAAGTACAGAAAGTACTTACCAAAGTTGTTTTCCACAGATTCTACAGATGCCATTAATCCCAACTATCCTCAATCTTTGCCATGCTACAGGCTGAGATTAGCCTCCCTAAGGCACAGTCTGAAATATGGAAGGAATATGCAATGACCTCATCCCCTGTTTTGGTACCATATGACTAGAGACTGGATCGAGGCCTAGCAAATACTTGACTTTTGAAGGCAGTGTCCGGGCAAAAACTCGATTCCTAGAAAATCCACTTACCGAGGGTTATCCGCAACGCTGAATCCGAAAATCCATATTAGAAGGCGCGAAAACGGCGAGAACATATCATCTATTCCATGACTAGGAGACATGTGACCGCATTGCGAAAATTGTCTTAACATGTTTGAGTTTGTTCTTCCATGTTTCCAAAGAGAATAAAACTGGACGAACGAGATAATTGACAAGTTTAAACCTGCTAAGTACATGATTAAGCTTGTCTAGACAATGTGCGCGATGCGGTCTCATGTCTCCTGATCATAGAATGAATGATACGTTCCCAAAGCCGCACAATTTGAAGTGTGACGGACCCCACCAAGGGAGGGACGCAGTCGCTCGGGACCATAGGTGCGATAGGGGGAGCCGAGCTCTCCCCAGGTGAAGGGGGTTTCGGCTGTTCCCGACCTAAATAAGGTACAAATTAGAGCTCTTCATACCACGCTTTTACCATACTCTTGAAGGGGGTATGTGGGTCTGGGGGGGGGGGAGGAAGAGAGAAAAGGTAAAAAAGCGTGGTATGAAGAGCTCTAATTTGTACCTTATTTAGGCACAAAATGAAAAAATTTTTTTTAAAGTTTTCAAAAGAAATTAAAATTTAAAAAAGAAATTGATTATGAAGATCTGTGCTCCTGTTTCACTGCATCAACAAAAAACGAAAGCAATAATGTTTATCCCAAAAGATGTACAAGTTAGGAACAACTTCATTTCCTGCACATCATCATCAACAATATCACTATCGCTAACGTCAGAGACAAATTTTCAGATTTTCGTCGGCGTAAGATTCTCCTTCTGCCTCGCTTTGAACTAGAACACATGCGAGTCATCTGCGATTTTGTAAAGTCTTCTGCCTGCCGTTTCCTCTTCAAACTGCCAACCTTTCCAAAACATTGAGGGATGTTTTAATAACATGTTATTCTTCTGAATGTCTTAGAGTTTTTGATTCATTGAAACCAACCATTCTCTACAAATTAGGTAAGGGGAGTCTAGAGCGTTTTCACGAAAGTGACCTTCTTCAGCACTAGGTTTATAGAGAATAGATTCCAGAAATGGGCGGGTTTTTGTGTGAAGTTGTGGAAATTCACCAATCTCCCATAGTTTTTTGAGTGTGTGCTAATAATGATGGCATAACTGTCAATCAAAAGCGCATTTTTTACCAAAAAAAACATAAACATATAACAACGATAAGCACGCTCAAATAGATGCGTTCGCTCACGTTCTCGTTAATGCTGATAACTATGTCAATCCACAGCACATTTTTTACTATTAACTTGCTCCACCTCGCTCTTATTAGGTCGTCCAGAAAGTTTTTGCACATGAATTCAAAATTCATAACTTCTGATTTTTCCAACCGATTTGATTGCTTTCACTTTTATGTGAAAGGGTAAGTCATGCTCTTTATAATAACGTCCCAGCTGCTTAGTAATGGTCATCTGTTGCATAGATAGGAGCGATAGAAGAAAAATGGTAAAAATTTCAATTTTCTGTGTAGCCAACAAAAATCGGAGCAGTCAGTACTGTAGGTTCTTTCACCAGCTCTTTCTAACAGTGCAAAGTTTGCGCCGATTGAGCGTCTCCATGAAAAGTTATGATTTCCCAGAAAAATGCCAAAATAAATCAAATTCGCCTTTTTGTACTGCTTGCTCGGAAATTATAACTTTTCATGGAGACGCTCAATCGGAGCAAACTTTGCACGGTCAGAAAGAGCTGGTGAAAGAACCTACAATACCGACTGATCCGATTTTGTTGCACGTTTCTGATTTTTTATGACCCTACACAAAAATTCAAATTTTGGGTGATTTTGTTTTGAGCTTCTATCTATGCAACAGATGACCATTACTAAGCAGCTGGGACGTCATTATAAAGAGCATGACTTACCCTTTCACATAAAAGTGAAAGCAGTCAAATCGGTTAAAAAAATCAGAAGTTATGAATTTCTGAAAATCGTGCGCAAGAACTTTCGGGACGACCTATACAATGTGTTGGCTTTTATGGGACACCGGAGCAAATGATTTTTAGAGCCGGGAAGCAAAGAAGCCCTAACAAGCTGTACACCATTCGAAAGCTGAAATCCTGGAGAATCGACGTAGACCGTCGACTTCTTTCTAGGTCTTCTGTGCCGCGAGATATGAGGGATTTCATGTGCTTCAAAAATTAACTAATTTTGTGTCCTCACTTTCTGCTCTCCAAAATGCTACGAGGATAAATAAATAATATAAATAAACATAAATACCGTTTCTTTGATAAATTTATGAGTGTACTTGTTGTTTGAGGTACTTAGCCTGCTTTTCATAACGATTTTTATCATATTCTCAGAGTACAATACCAATCTCAGCCCAGGTGAAGGGGTCATCGGGAGTTTGGCCTCAAAGTCAAGGGGGTAAGATCCATCACTCCCCCTATCGCAACTATGCTCGGGACCCTACATTTTAACTGTGGCGGCATGCGTACTCTGCCGCATAGCAGGAATTCGGACAGCTCGGAGGACCCCGCTGCAAGGCTTAAATTCCCCTACTTTCCGCTCGTTTTTCTTGCTTTAGGTCGAGCGTACCACGTCGCACTTGTGCGATGTTGTGTCTGAGGGGGGCCACTCTCGCATGGCACTGAAATCCCAAAACCCCCATCTTGCCCGGACACTGCTTTTAAGCTTTGTGGCTATCGAGCAGGAGGCTTTTCCTTGTGATATGCAGATTGGGAAGCGAAATTCTTTAAATCACGTTCATCTCCTTTTTGTGTAGAACAGCCGGTTGAGCTTTCTCCAAAGAAGGTAATTCTTACACTAGTTCTGCGGAGTTCCGCAAACTAAGAGCCAGCAAATTGCTTGAAGATCAAGCCATGGGTGTCGAGTTCATCTCTATTTCAAAACTGAGTTTTGACAGCTGTTTTAGCTTTTACTCCACATTTTGAAAGTCTTGGAGAGTTATCCCGCTTGGGAAAGCCGTTCGAGGAGATCAATGACCAATGCCTCCTGCCGAAAGGCCCCTTCCTATTCGGCCTAGGGTCCCTAACGAATTCGTCCGTCTCTCAACCAAGCCTTGATATCTTCTGCCGCCCCATATTGCGTCCGGGTAAGGGAAAACGATCTCGGCAGAGGCACCCTCACTTCTAGAAAGAGAGTGATCTAGTCCTTCCAGCAAGGAAACTGTGATCCGACATGCTATGATTTTTTTTATGTTTCTTTTCATCTTTTGTCGCAATTCTGTGTATAATATAAGTGAAAAAATAATAAAAAGTAAATACTTTCAGGAAGACAAACTGCGCAGACAGCACTTAATTTTATCAGCTGCTCCGTGGAAGTGACTCTCTGTGCATGTCCCTATGAATATTATGGCAAAAAAAAAAACGTACTTTTTCGAAGTGTGATCAATAACGAATTCTCCAAAGTCTCCAAATACAGCTCAGACATTGTTTTTGAACAATGACGACGATTCGTTTTGATGATAACGTTGTCGCTTGAGAGTAAAGAGTAAGCCTAGCAAACAAAGCTACGATAAGTTGATCCACTGCTGGGCCATACCCTCTCAAGTGCTCTACCTTTTGAAATATTCTGAAAAATGTGCGAAATTTCGCTCAAAGGAAAGCGAGAGTGCTTGTTGATGATAATATTGCAGCAAGCTTACGGTAGTTAGATGGAGGGTCAAAACCGCCAACTTTCCTGACAATTTCCACAAGTATTCGATGGTTCAGCAAAACTTTATTGCGGTCTTACTAGAGTGGGATTACCGTAAGCACTTAGGGGGGGTCAAAAATTGAATACTTTCTTATGAAGAGCAAGCTTGTCGTTGACACAAGACTCTTCAAAAATTGCTTGATCTGTGTTTGAAGGCTACCGGTAGTTTCATTACTTTCAGATATTAAGATGTATACGACCTTTGCTATACCTGTTCGAAAGTTGACAAGGCTCTTAGAGCCTCAAAACTTTTGAAAAAATTATAAAGAGCACTCAGGCAATACGACGGCGGAAATTTGCACTTTGTGACCTACATCACCGTGTGATGCCCTTCGATTAGGCAGTCAGCACCTTTATATTTTTGCCCAACACTCGTACTTAAATCATATCATTGTGAGTATTATCGGATATAAAGTTCTGTTCACCCAATAAGTGCAGAATAGGAAACTTCACTTTTCTCTTTTTAACCTTATTTTTGAGAGACTGGAGCCGTCATAGAGTAAGAATTTTACAGGTGTTTCGCACAGCCAACGCCAACCCAGAATTTGTATTTCTTCTTGCTCGTTCTGCAAAACCATCCAACAGGAAATGATAGATGCCGAATCTCATCTAGGGAGACACTTCGGCTCGAAGAAGATGCAAACCCAAAAATATACAGTTCATCTACATGCACAATGTTCTAATTTACTAGTCGACTTCACATAATAACGGAAGTAAGCATATCCTATCTTAGTCGCTGATTGAATTCAGGTCGGAGATGACGTACTGATTTCCGGTTAGCCGATGATCACGCTTGGACAAAGCGATCCTGGAAATGGATATTTTGTAATTTTTTAATGGCTATCAAATGACTGCAGATGATAGACATATTTTCCTTCTTAAAACAGATGAAGAATTGTCCTCTTTAGGCCTCGGGCAGATTTCACGCGATTTCATCGACGCGATTCATCGCCACAAGACAACTGTTACAATTCCATTGCCTGGCGATCTTCTTGTATCTCGATTGTAATAGCTAATCACGATTAGTCGTGTCGGAAAAATATCACAACCGAAATGCAAGAAGATCGGCACGCAATGATATTAGGTTGATGCAAAATTAATGAGCGTTTTTCTAGGACTTTTTTCTGGACAACTTTTCTAAATCAAACTTCTTCCTTTTCTCAATCAACTTCTTTAAAACAGATCCAACACATTCCTGAGGAGCTCTTTTCATGCTCTATACAAATCTGCTTAAAACGGACATTTAGCCCAGTTTGTTAAGAATTTATAGGGCTTCAAATGACCGCACTCAAAACCAGATTTTTGTTGCATTCACTTGCTGACTAGAATTGAAGCGCAAATTAAGGCGCATTTTCAAAAATTTAGTCACTATATGTAATAGAAATTCTCTACATTATGCATACTTAACCATAATTTTTGAAGTTATCTAAGCTAAGCTATCGGCGCCTTAAAGTGGGCAATGGTTGCGATCATTCTATAGCCCACATGTTTCTTTTGTAGAAAGCAATCCCCAAAGTTTTGCTCATTTCTGTAAGCGTGAGGGTAGAGCATCCTGTTGACAGTTTTAGCAAGGGCATTTAGATGTTCAGCACGCAGAAAATCAGAAAATTCTATGATTCAGGATTTTTAGGCCTACTGAAAAAATGCTGAAAAAGTCGATATTTTTTTTAAATTTTGATTTCTTCCTTTCCGCCAATCTCTTTTCTCCAAGCTCTTTTCATGTTTGCTTGTACCACTGAGTTGCGGCTACAAGATAGGCTACTTATAAATTATACTTACAAATTGTGAAAGGAGTTATGTTTTGTCAAAAAGGAGACACCAGAAAAACACTTTTGTTTTTCAATTCATATTTTTCTGCCCATGTGAGATATGAGTACAATTTGATGTGCGTTATATTGCGAAAGGTTCGCTGCATCCGATGGTCTTTACCACGTTTCAAAATGTAGATTGCATCGAAAGTTATAGCAAGTTGAAGTGAAAATTTGAAAAAACGCTCATTATTTCTGCATCAACCTAATATTATTACAGTTGTCTTGCCACGATGAATCGCGAAGATGAAATCGCGTGAATTCTGCCTAGGCCTTAAGTGGTAGCCACCCCACACCAGCCAAAAGCAAAGAAAGAGGAAAAATCGGCTTCAAATAATGTCTAATTCGTACCGACATGCTAATATTAGGCTGGAAACTAAGTTTTGCAACTGGTTTCATAACTTCACTCTCTTTGGATATGGCGCACTCAAACTTTGGCTTTATGTAGAAGGCAATGTGAGCTACAAGTGAGCACAAATTGTCTAAATTTTGATCACGAAATAGAAAAGTCTTAGGCGTTTTTCGAAAACTAGTGAAATTTGTGAATTTTTGGGGTTTCAAGCTAAAATGAAGCCTTTGACAGCCTAGACCATGCGTAGTAATCCGGATTCGTCTATAAATTATTGCTGAAGGTTGACTCCTTTGGCCTAGCAAGAAAGAAGTAGAATTTAGGGGCATGTCAAGATTTGGCGTCTTCATAAAGTCAAACGAGTCGATGTACGCAAGAGCTGCTGGGGACGACCGTCAATGACTAAAGAGTCCGAAGCTTAAATTCCGCCGAGACTTTACATAGTAAGGTTATTTGAACTGCCAAACGCGAATATCACATTCTTTTGTTGATTCAATGCCTTCTTCCTTGTTCAGGGCGAGACCCCATATCGTACACCTACAGTAATCCTACAAAAAAGCCCTTATCACGCAAGTTCACTATCGCTTTCGTGATCAGCATGTCGGATAACATCCCTATGCCAAGTTTCAGCCAAATCCGTCAAACTTTAAATTTTTCCCCTTCATACCATGCACCTACCGTAACGCTCACTGCGACGTCAGAATTTGGTGGGACAGCAGCTGCGCTTGTAGCTTACATAATAGCCAACGCAGTGGCAAAGTTTGAGTGCGCCATGTTGAGTGAGAGGGAAGTTATGATACTAGTTGCAAAACTTAGTTTCCAACCTAATATATGACATATATGATGCGGACAGAAACGAATGAGAAGTCAAAATATCGAGATTTCATGAAACCCAACAACGCTTTTGCTCAATAAATCTTTATCAAAGGAAGTAAAACTACTTAAAGGTGCATAAACAAATTGAAAACTTATGGAGGTCTATGAAGCATTCTCGCAACCTCTCCCCTGAGAAATTCTATGCGTGCAGACACAAAATGTGCATTGACCATGGACGATAATACCGAAGGCTTCGGAAATTCAGTTCTCAACCGACGCCAGACGATTTTAGCAAATTTCAAAAAGAGTGGCTGGAATATGACATTTGGGTTACTCAAGGCCGGCACTGGAGTGGTTTTTTATTTTGTTCCTTGCCCAGACAGGATAGTGCGTTGAATTCAATTATAATTGGAGTTAAAAGAGATAAAGTGCGGTTTTTCATCAAAGCCTAGAAGCAAAAGGTGTCTCTCCGCAGTCCTGGAGATTATCTGGGCCGCCAAGTTTATGCTAACTATCACTTTAGCCAAAACCTCTTCGAAGGATAACAAGATTATACTTGGGCTACTGCATGACGAAGGCGCAGAAGCAGTATTAGTTGAGCGAGCGCGAAGGCTGCGCGCGCGTATCCTCACCGTTGTAAATCCCGCGCCTCGTGCGCTCTGCGGCTAATAAAGCCACGTTCGCGCCCAAAGATACTGCGCATTCGTCTTAGAGCAGCCTATACTACCACCTGCGTAACCTTTTCAACTGGCTTGGCTTCAGGAAGGCGGGGCTTTGCGACCTAATTGAGGCCGCTCGCGCCCGCAACGCATCTGCGTCTCTCTCGCGCGAGTGCTCTCTGATCATTACCTAGCCTTCATTAGGTCACGAGGCCACGCCTTCCCGAAGCCAAGCCAATTGAATCGGGTCGCACATCTGTGATCCTAGCTATTATACGGCCGGGAGCTATCTTTGAAAGCTTTCTTTCGCATTTGATGTGATAATCAGCACAGACTGGATACTAATAATCTTCGCCTACGCCACCTTCAGCAGATTTTGAACATCCTTTTCTCCCCAGCCATATGTGAACAGTAAATAAAATTGGGAAACGTCAATGCAGAAAAGAGCAACAGTAATAAATACCTTGCTGGTGTACAATAGTCTCTTCTGTAGGCTCTTCCCGTGTCCCAGATGTTGAAAGGATAGCTCATGTAGCAAGCTCCTGCTACAAATGCGAGCGTGATCACACCCGAATAAAACTGCTCGAACCACATGAAACCTGAATAAGAGACAGTAGATGAGGTTACAATTTATATATGCGATATCGTCGGCAACATTGGTACTCATTATAAAACGTTGTAAAAGTAAAGTCACTGGCAAAGCAAATTCCCAAAGTCCTATGTCACTATTTCTGGAATTTGCTCTAATTTCTGAAAGTGGAGAGTACGGCATAAACACACAAGCAATACGTCAAGGAGTAACAATTGCTGGGAAACAAGGCCAGAAAGAAACTGAATGCACGATTTGGGAATAAAGTCGTCAATCGCATTCAGCAATGCTAATCAGGACGCGCTGTTCAAACGATAATGCATTTTAGTTCACCAAAAACTTGGGAAAAGATTCACTTTGCCACAAATCTATAACGAAAATGGTGTGGTTCTTTTGGAACAGCAAAACTCTGAAGCAGACGGCGCGGAAATACGGAGTGTGCATTTACGGAATGCCATTTACTGCACATCACTTTTTCGAAATGCCTTGAGCAGGTTCTTTCGCAAAAAGAGCATTTCGTTTTAACAGCTCGGTCGCGGGCTTACCTGTGACTTATCACTTCTGTATTTTTCTGTTGAAGTATAATATATGACTGTGTGGGGGAGACGATCAAAAGGCGCAATTTCTCCAGAAGTCATCGAGCAACCAGTCACTTGCACAGTCTCACCCAAGGCTACCTTCAATAATTTCGGTGCTCATCCTCCTTCCCCCAGCCTTCCCCCGGTCCCCTCTGATGCATCGATGTTCACATCAAATTCTGCACCACTCTTCCTCATGCGCTTCGTCCATAGAGATGTGTTGAATCGTGATAGACGTTGTTTATGATAGCGTCAATCAGATAGAATTTTCCAGGAAAGCCTCTCCAGCATCCGTTCCAAACGGAACCCTAGAGCACCATACTTTGGAACTTTACACAAGCCATGACTATGAACAAGATACGCAACCGGGATCTGTTGGACAAGGCTCTCAGCAAGACTGCTGCATCAAGCAACCAATCGAATAGCAATGGTAGGCCATGATTGCCTTTGCTGCTACATATTGTAAAGTAGATCACGTACAATGCTTGTTCGTGACAAAAAATTTTTCTGAGTAAAGGTGCGTGGCGTTAGCTATGCAATCCGAAAAATTTTTGGGGTGTTTTCCAGAATTTTTATGGGTCCATGACCCGAAAATACCACGCCCCGAAAAATTTTTTTTACGAAGTAATTAAAGATTATTCTCATTATTTGCAATTATAAATAAGTCACTTGTACATTTTTATAACCCATATAAGTAATTTCAAAAATTTCGCGACCCATTCTCGGGGGGGGGGGGGGGGCTGCTCGCACCGCCACTGCTGCTTATATTATATATCACATATCATTTATTATTTTTTCTGCTCTTCAGATACATTTCCACTGGCGGAAACAGATAAATTTACTTTTTTACTTTAGAAAACAGTACTAAACTCTTCTACTGCACTGTGCGTAACATCCCTTCCACAATGAGATCGAAAGATCTTCGGATATACTTCTTGGACTACGTGGAAAATGGAAGATTTCATTGCTTCCACTTCAGGCATCGACCGGAACGCCAGGAGGAGGTAAAATTTTGATTTTCGGCGCTTTCTCGTTCTTTTTTTCTGCAAAGATCAAAAATACTCGTCTCGCCTGTATCATAAACGGCTTGCGTACATGCTTTTCCGTCGGCAGGGCTCTCGTGCAATTGCACAACCCTGTAAACTGAGTATTTGGTGAGGCCTAACTCTGGCGAGGAAAGGAAGCGTTCAGTGAATCACATGAGAGAATTCACCAAATGAACACGTCTGTACCGTATAAATGTTTGTGATCTCCGTAACACGCTGAAGCGCGTGAGTATGAGAAGTAAGGTCTTCAGGGATTTCCACCATGTTGCGGAACTCAATGAGAAAACACCACGTTATTGACTGTCATTATTATTACTACCACACTTGTACTTTTGGTATACTTTTTTAGAAAGTACACGAATATGAAACGCATGAACAAAAATGTGTAGTCTGCTGTGAGGCCACATGCCTTAAGCTCGGTTCATACTGGACCGTAACTTCCGAAACGTTCCACTCAGCGCACAATTCGAGCGCTGTTCCGGAACTTGCGGATTAGTATGAACGCAGCCTTAATGTTAATATATGGGTAAGGTGCGGGTTACCACCCGTTTTGTAACCGAATGTGTACTATGGCGCTTCCCACGAATTCCTATAGTATTTTTGAAGTTTGCAAGGAATTTGGTCCATATTTTTTCTACAGAGCACAACAACTCCGCAAGCATCTCCCGCGAAGAAAGAATCATCTACATCATGTTGTGTCATTAGCTTTACTTCAAAGGAAGAAAGGTGAGCTCAATGGACAGTGTTTATTTTTGTTAAGAAACATGTTTTTGAGATTTTGAGCTGAGAAGCATTAAGTAGCAACGCCGAAAAACACCATATTTTAGCAGAAACGCAGCCGTATATCTGTTTTTTTTACCAAGTGCATCAGCGTTTCATAGTGTCATTGAGCGTGAAGGTTTCGCACAAAGTAAAGAGTGTTGGCTTATCCAATTTTGCTAGTTCTGCCAGTTTGGAATCTTCCAGATCTCGGTTTATTCAAGAGTTCCATGGACGTCACTGGACGAACAGCGATGGAATGGACATCCCTCGTAGATGTTTTGTCACTGCAGTGAAAGTTGCAGAGGTATGCAGTTCGTCCTCCTGCTCAATTACTCCAGCTATTTGTTCGAAGACTATGACTGAAGTAAGCCGATTAGAACGGTATCATCTTTTCAATCGTAGGGTAGCGAATGCTCGTCCGATTGTGTTACTGAGGCTGATCTACGACAAATGATAGAATTGCGACCGCCACTGGTGATGCCTCACGGGAATGTGGGTACTCCTACGCAGTACTTCCTGGACCAGGTGTGCTAAAAGCTGTCACTTCGGTGTTGTTGAGAGTACTTCCTAATCATTAGATCCGTCTTTGCCGATTGCCCGTGTCTCTCATCGCCAAGCTGGGTTTGAAGTCAACTAGACGGAGGAGGAAGTATGACTCAGTTCCTTTTCAGTATTCTTATAGTGTGAAAGGTAAGTTGAGATGGCTTTTGTAATTAGTTGTACACCTTCTCTTTTCAGGTGACCTTCATCTTTCTGCTAAAGATTTGTTGAAGAGAAAAGTTACCGAGAAAGAACAACTTGATGAAGATCAGTCAATTCGCGAACAGGTTCTATTCTTTCCACATATTTGCTGATTCTCCATAGAAGATCATCCAAGTCAGTACTTCTTCAGCCAATACCAGCAGATCTCACTGATAAAATTTTGCTTAACGACTACGGACCAGACAGTGATGCTGGAGCGGATAATGATGACGATCAGTGCGAAGAATGGGAACGGTATCGTTTTCTCTAGGGCATTTTATCGCATTCTATCGCAACTCATCGATAATGTTTGTGCAGGCACGAAGCTCTCCATGATGATGTAACCGAGCAAGATCGTACGAAGCCAAGAAAGTACGAAGAAGAAATGGAGATAGTTTGGGAGAAAGGTGGACCTGGATTAGTCTGGTACACCGATAAAAACTACTGGGATGAACGAGAAAAAGGTTTGTAATCATCGCGTTTGTCATCTTTTGTATTTATCAAATGCGGTGCCACGATGTGAAGGAAACGATATGAAAGTCCTATCTGTTTATATATTTGATTTTGACTCTTCATTTAGGAACGGATTGTGACTGGGCGTGGGCGGACGATTGGGATGTGGATTACTCTGTATATTACGAGGGAAAGCTAGCTGCATCAAAAGACGCTCGCGATGCCGTCGAAATGAGAGAGGATGAAGCTAAAAGGTACTCCCTTCTTGTCGCTTTTTTAACATGTCGTCGGTGTTGTAACTTGTCTTTTCCAAAATATCAACTTCTCGCTTTTCAACGTGGAAGTATTCACGTGGCCCAATCAGTCATTAAAGGCAGCGTCCAGGCAAATCTGGACATATGGGGCTCTCACGTGGATCGTAATTTTGGGGCCCTAACTCTCAGACAATCAAAGGCTCTCAGCCGGCCCCATCAAAAGCGCCGTTGCCTTATGCCGCCACTTTCGCTTCTCGCTGAAGACTTTATGGCAGCCCGCTCGTTGCCAGTTCTAGCAAAGTTTCTCAGCGGGAGTGAAAGTGGCGGCGGTAAGGCAGTGGCGCTTTTGGTGGGGCCGGCTGAGAGCCTTTGACTGTCTGAGAATGTGCCGGATCGGATTACCGGATTACTGTATCATGTAATATATGTGGACGCATCCTGAGTATTCTGGAATGACAATGTTTTAAGATCCGGAAAGCTAAATGACTCCGTCTTTACCAAGAAAAATAATCGTGAACTGCGTCATGAGCGAAAACGGCGCAATAGTGGTTCTGATGTGATTGACATTGAGCAATACTCGAAAGGAATTGGAAGCAAACTCCTGGGAAGGTGAGAACTATCACTTTACATTTGTGATCAACATGTTTAAATCATTTTGCTTAAGAATGGGGTGGAAGCCTGGAGCCGGTTTGGGTCGAACGCAGCAAGGTAGAGTGCATCCAGTGGCAATTCAGTTGGAGGAGGATGGTCAAATCGGCTCTGAGAAGAAAGGTTTTGGCTATCACGGCGAAAGAATGCAACGGACAGGATTTGCAAAAGTACCTAAAGTACATGCTATCGCATCTGTGTGAGTATAAGTCTCCAGAATTATCTTTTCATCTATCGGGTCGATTCCCTGATATAATGGGATTTTTTTAGTTTCGATGAGACCACTGATAAAATTCCCAAATCGTACAAGAGGGTCGGAGATGATGCTTCTGGAGATGTGTTGTTCCGCAGAGCCGAGCCCACTACCATGAAATATAGAGAAAAGTTCTTCAAATGACTGTACAGATGTATAAAACAAGTAGTTGTGTGTGATTGGTAGAGGCTGCAGCAAGGCCCTTTGTATCAAAAACATGTATATATAAAGATGTAAAAGCGGTGCCAGTTTGCTTCCTCTTTACAAACCTAATTCACCCTCAAATTTAACCGGTAATGGCATTAGTATACGCGTTATACAGTGCTGGACATAATTATAGGGACACTCTAGAAATCGTCGTAATTTTCATTCTTGTCAGTGAATCTGTCTGAAACTTTGCTATATGGTGCGCATGTAAGCCTACCATAACTCCTTAGAACGGCTTCCAATCCCGTTGATTTCGAACGGAGAAAAATGGAAAAATTCGAAAAAGCTTGTTTTGCAGGCTGGACATAATTATAAGGACACCTGGCCTTTTTAAGCATTATCGCATTCCTTGACTCCCAAATTTTTTTGTAGAGTTACATCCCAGAATATGAAACTTTTGCAGCACCTAGGACCTGTCATGCTACTCAAGGAAAGATGATCCTTGCATTTTTCGTTTCCAAAGGCAGCAGAAGTCAAACTGCTTCAGTAAACAACTGGTTTGAAGAGTTTTCAAGCCCTTGTTCATTTCAAATGATAATCATGGAGTCTACTGATCCTTCTGGATAGATGAGGTAAAGAGCGCTTTCGTAAACTCTGCGTAATCGCTGATTTTGACGGACATACTTCAACCTCACCATAGGGTTGTCGCGCTTTTGCACCACAAAACTCACTTTCCAATGGTCGTGAAGTGATGGACTCGATTCATTACATTGTCTACGTGGAGATGCATCTTCTGCAACAACTTTAGATTTTTTCTAGTGCTGCAGTTGCCATTTAGATCTGAAATACTTCCAACGAAAATTCTATGCGAGCAGTAGACTCAACATAATCACAAATCTCACTATTTTATTCTCTGTTTCATGTCGCATTTTGCGCGGTGGCTGAGATTAGCAAGATTTTGAAGTTTCAAGCGGTCTCCTGTTCGATTTCTTGATTTGAGTTGGATATGATTGTGCAGGGTGCTCGACTCAACTCTCAACGGATGACAACTGCGGCTGAACCAGAATGTGCAACCCCGAAATTTTTTCCTGACTAGGCACACAAGTTTATTGTTGTACGTGTATTGTTGCGGCTACATTGCAGCGTTTTCTGTAACTTGAAAATCGAGTTTTGTGGTGCAAAAGCGCGACAACCCTATGGTGAGGTTGAAGTCTGTCCGTCAAAATCAGCGATTACGCAGAGTTTACGAAAGCGCTCTTCACCTTATCTATCCAGAAGGATCAGTAGACCCCATGATTATCATTTGAAATGAACAAGGGCTTGAAAACTCTTCAAACCAGTTGTTTACTGAAGCAGTTTGACTTCTGATGCCTTTGGAAACGAAAAATGCAAGGATCATCTTTCCTTGAGTAGCATGACAGGTCCTAGGTGCTGCAAAAGTTTCATATTCTGGGATGTAACTCTACAAAAAAATTTGGGAGTCAAGGAATGCGATAATGCTTAAAAAGGCCAGGTGTCCTTATAATTATGTCCAGCCTACAAAACAAGCTTTTTCGAATTTTTCCATTTTTCTCCGTTCGAAATCAACGGGATTGGAAGCCGTTCTGAGGAATTATGGTAGGCTTACATGCGCACCATACAGCAAAGTTTCAGACAGATTCACTTACAAGAATGAAAATTACGACGATTTCTAGAGTGTCCCTATAATTATGTCCAGCACTGTAGTCTTTGTAAAGCTGCTTATCTGCCACATCTATTGCGTATTATAGTTGAGACCGAATATTCGAGTTCGAATAATTTATTCGAAAAATTCGACTATTCGAATATTCGAATAGTCGAATGTTTGAAAAAAACGCAATTATTCGACTGTTCGAATAGTCGAATATACAAAAGAGACAATTATTCGAATATTCGTTCATTCGCCCATTTGGAAAAACGGCGTATTCGAATATTCGAATATTCGATACGTTGGAAAAAACCAATATTCGAATATTCGAATATTCGACGCAACAAAAAAAGGACTTATTCGAATGTTCGATTATTTGCAACCGACTTATTCGAATGTTCGAATATTCGAACCGACAGAACTTAACTTTCTACCGGTCGCCTCCTCTTGTCGGCTTCTGAACGACCCCTTCACTCTTCGGAGTCTCTAATATGGGGGGAGTTGTAACAACGCGTAACAGCTCCCAAAGAACGCGGTTCGTTGCACCTCGCCCAAACATTGATTGATTTACGTTTCCTTCGTATCAGTGCATTTCCCCTGAGTTCCATTGAGCTGTTTTTCTTCGTAGCAGAGCTTTATCATACTTCGTGACGCTAAAGTGCTTTCATTTCATTTTTGATACTTTTTGCCTGTTGCTCAAGTTGTCGACTATCTTCCTTTGTATGAACGCAGCTACCCACGTCATTGATGGTTTCTGTCGAGTTTTTGAAGTTTCTCATTTTCTTTTCAGAGGAATATTATGCAATCGCAGTGCGATGCGTTGGTGAGTTTGATTTTACTGAATGATCCAGCACTGAAGCCTTGAAAAGATTTTGCTAACATTAGTCCTTTTTGTCATTTCTACTTTTGGAGTTCAAGCACGTTACTTCTGACAGTGAATGATGTTGTTTACATCAAGTCATCAAGCTAATTCAGCAAGAAGGCTAATTTTGGAACGCCGAATTGTCCTTTTTTCATTTTTTTGTTGCTTTTTTGCGCAAATGAATGAAATTGTCGTCTATCATTCATTGTATTGACAGCTAACAGTGTCATCAATGCCGATTTTGTTGAGTATGGGAGTTTTCAAACCTTTTTCCCGGAGGAGTCCAATACGATCTCTACGAAGAGTATCAATTTCTGCATTCTGCTGAATGTTAACATGTTTGGATGAACTAACGATCAGTTCACGATACTTACAAGGTGATGTAAGCTTTAAGGAGTGCCTGAAGCGATAAATGTGGATCGAAAACTCCAGATAATCGAATCATTATATGAATGGTGCACTAGTCCCGTTATGCTTCCTTGCCCGAAGGGTGATCTTGTTCAGTGAATTGGTGCACCATGTAAGCGCAGGCATCCTGTATTACTCAAATCAGTAGTCCTCTACAAAGAAAGACTTCTACCATTCATTCTGTGATTTAGAGACCCCGCTTTGCACACATTGCCTAAACGGTTTGAACGTGATTTTTCCTCTCCAAGTAGCAAATAATCCAAATCGGTCAGACTGGAGGTATAAACCTGTAAACGTCACGATCATGGTTGTTTGACAATGTGAGCAAAGCAGTTTCGAGTCTCCTGCAGTCACACACAGAATGATACTTTGCATTAGGGTGTTGCTTGTCCCATCAGACGAGACTCGCTTTTTTAGGAGATTGATTTACTTACAGCTTCTCTTTATTTGCACTCTTCTTCAGTAAAGTTTTACCCGCAGTGTATTTCTAAAGGCAACATCTTGATGACTTGATAGTAATAAACAACATCTATCTGAAGTAATGTGCTTGAACTCCAAAGGTAGGTATGACAAAAAGCACTGTTGTTCGCAAGGTTTTTTCAAGGCTTCAGTGCTGGATCATTCAGTAAATTCAAACTCACCAACTGCACCGCACTGCGATCGCATAATGTTCCTCTGAGAAGAAAATGAGAAATTTCAAAAGCAAACTCCAAACACTTTGGGATCGGCCATACTATTCCTGCTATTCTTACGACTCCTGCGAATCCTGCGATTCCTGTGAGTCCCGCACAGTTTAGACGCCGCTTAAATGAGCGCGTGTTGCGTGTTAGGTGTTGTTTTACGCAACACGCGCTCATTTGAGCGGCGTCTAAACTGTGCGGGACTCACAGGAATCGCAGGATTCGCAGGAGTCGTAGGAATAGCAGGAATACTATGGCCGATCCCTTTAGCGTCGCGAAATTAGCCGTCTGGCTCCTTTGTGTGCAAGCACGGACTGGCGCGAACAACCTGCCTCATTCGGAGATTCAAAATGTTGTGCATTTGCACGCAGGGCAGTGACTAGGCAGATGACGGCTACTATACATGTTTTGACTTCCCCGCATGCCTTTATCCGAAAGCTGCATAACGAAGCTACCCATTCAAATCAGCATTGCTGTTGTGCTAAATCTTGGATACTACTAGCACCCGTTATGTTTCTGCGGCTCAAGCTAGGGGTTGATCGTGCTCCAGTTTCTTGGCGTGAACTCGTGTAATACTTACACCACCGAAGAACTTCATCGGGCAAGGGACTTTATAGGACCTTTACGGTTCACAGTCATAGTGGGAATTGAAAGAAGAATTACATAAAAATTAGAGTCACTTGTTGCCAGCCCCAAAAAAACCTAAGCGTCACTTATTGCCAACCCCCACCCAACCTAAGCGTCACTTGTTGACTTGTTCACTTGACACACCTGTTGCAAAATGCTGCCACAGAAGGACATTCGGACTGAGTTTATCCAAGACTAGATTCATTCGAATTATTCGAATAGTCGAATATTCGGTCATGTTTGATTATTCGATTATTCGAATAGTCGAATATTCGGTCAAATGTGATTATTCGATTATTCGAATAGTCGAATATTGGGTCACGTCCAAATATTCGATTATTCGAATAGTCGAATTCTTGAAAAGTATCAATATTCGAATATTCGAGTTCGAATAATTCAAAAATCGCAATTCGAATAATATTCGTTCGTTCGAATAATTTTTGAAATTGGATTATTCGAAATTCGTTCATTCGAAAAAAAATTTCGTTCGTCTCAACTATATTGCGTATATGCCCATATTGCAATGCGGACCTCATCCACTGCCTAGCGAATTTAGGGGTTTTAAAACTTCATCGTTGTCACGGAAGGTTTTGATCGTTCAGGTAAGGAGGCAAAGCACCAAAGCATCAAGCTAGTTATCATTGTTATTCGTAAGCTTCAGAGCCCATAAGTTCAGCTATGTCATCGTTGTCAACAACTAGAATAGGAAGACGCGAATGTTAGAGGACGTTAGGTGCTAAGTATCAGCAGTGGCCATTCTTCTGTGTTTCGTCGAAATATCTTGCAAAGAGCTTCATTTTTGAAGGAATGGCGGAGCTGTTTTATTGTCATTAGTGAGCGATCGGAGATCTTGCTTCTAGCGTCCAAACAACTCGATCAGATATTGCGAGATTGGTGAATGTCGCTTTTGGAGATCCGGTAGTCTCCAATGTGCATAGTATTAGGTTGTCCTGAAAATAGCGGCGCATCGCTTGCTACCGCAGCAGAATGAGTAAGAGTCCAAAAAGAGATTAGGGCACCATTGGACAGAACAAAGCAAACTTCACAAGATCCAGATATCCATGCAAACTTTGATCCACTGCAAGTTGAAGTCAAATTGTAAAAAAAACTTCAGTCCGCAAAATTTTGAGCCGCCCACAAAACTTCTACGGACCTATACGTACCTTCAGCTTGCTGAAACATGTACTATCCACATTAGGCATTCACATGTACATTTGGTGAAACTTTTCCATGGCTTACCAGAACAGTAGGCCAGAAATACGAATTTGTCGATCTTCGGCTTTTCTATTTTGAATTTCGGGTTTTTTTTTGCTAAATCTGATTTACACTTCTGTCTTCAATCTTCCCGCGAATGGTCTGCTAATTACTAGCGCTCACCATTAGGGCTCGACACGAGCTGGCACCAGGAAAATTTCAGAACGAAGTCTGTTTTGATTCTGAAAACTTCGTACGAAGTCCCTTTAACACTAAACCCTAAACGTAGAAGAACGTCAACTACAAGAAACGTCGCAATTTTTGTGTCTTTTCGGCCACAAAAACGATATTCCGTTTGCTCTTTGTCCCAAAAACAATATTCAGCTTGACCCGGTGCTGAGTCCTGCTCACCATCCAACAACCAAGGATGGATGAAAGAGAACGGGAAGAAAACGTGGGTGGTCACTGCGAACCCTACGCGGAAGTAAGGGGAGATCCAGCGAGGCCAGCCGGACTCGCAGTCGCTAAAGCCTTTGCTGGCAAGACGAAGTGATGGATCAGTGGAACGATTCCGAAGTACGTAGCTCCACTATCAAAAATGCCGAGAGGGTCATCACGATTTTCTGTATTGTAATTGAATTCGAGAATAAATAAAAAGAAACGAGAAAGTGGGAGACAAAAATCTTCGATCGTACTTTTGCAGGATACTATAACCTATCTGCAAGAAGGTCAGGATTGCTTTGGCAAACGGCAGATTGTTATCTCATATAATGAGAAAGTTGGGGTCTGTAGATTTTCTTGAGAGGACGCGTTTTTTCGTAATTTTTCAGGAATATAGAGTTTTCTGGATTTCCAGGTAGATCACACCTGGCGCGAATGTGTGAGCCATATCAGAGCTTACCTTGTCTACAAATGGAACAGCGTATTTATTCCATGCTCACCATGCCGCAATGTTACAGGGTAGTAAATGCTGCGACATTAAATCCCGGACAACCTGAAAAGTACCCTGATTTCACCAATACAAAACGCATTTATTTCTATCTATGAACTCGACTAGCTTGAACTACAATAAATGTTGCAACCAAGGAACCCTTTACTGTGTTGGCAATACAGTAAAGGGTCCCTTGGTCACACAGTGTTGATTCTTATTTAAGAATTGTGTAGAGAGCGAACATCTCGCGAGGGTGTGGTGCGGCCAAGCTGCTTGCTTGAAAAAGCGAAAAAAAACGCTCTTCTCGTGAAATTAGGGTAGTAGTACATAAATACATCCTATCTTACGTCATATAGCAAGAACTTGGAGTGCGTTGTGCGTAAAAAAAGGACAGTAATTTATTAACGAGAGAAAATCTCCTTTGGGGGCAACGTAATGCATGGAACAGGCTTAGAGAAATTTCCTTGTAGCAAAATAAGGTTATTTTGTTCATTACGCTTGCATGAATATTCGTGGTACATCTGCGCACCTCTTAGGTTTGACAATCTTCAGCCTCTACAGAAAATAACATATTCATGCTTTGAACACATATCAGCCCAGGTTCATAAACTCTTGTGAGGTTCTTAAAATGAAGTCGTAAACACCGACCGCCTCAGTTTTTCACTTCTAAAGTTTTTGAAGAATGTGACTCGAGTGTTGCGAACAAAAATACACGTGATTTTCCTAATCGCCCCTCCATATCCTGTCGCACTCATCAGCCTTAGCCTTCAAGAGTGATAGGTCAGCTGTCTCAAATCGTCCTGGTCATCGATGACAAACATCTTCTTCCTGCTAGCTCCATTACTTTGCATATTATCTCATTATGGTAAGTGTGACAAAAGTTGTATTTAAATAAGTCATCAGATCAGCGTAGATGATTTTCCGTTGCATGATGTATCTTACAGATGAGGCCTTTCCGCAAGTAAGTCCGTACTTATTGAAGGTGTCCGCAGTTCGGAATTATCTATGATTTTAGGGTAGTTGTAATGAAAAAAAGGATATCTGTAGGGCGGAACTATCTGAAGACGAACTTATCTGGGTCAAAAAGCAACCCTGTATATATATGTATGATTTTGCAATCCATAAACCAACGAAACGACAAAGTTTTGTCAAAATTCGCTCGATAATGTAATCTCCGCGCGCGCAACCTTCTGCCCCTTTGCTTACAGATTTTCAACTTCGTTTTTCCGAAACTCAGCAAGTCTGGTTTCAAAAACGTCCTCTAACCAGCGCTTAAGATTGTCTTCAAAATCGGAACAGGTATCTCTCATATGGCTTACAAGACAGCCGAACAAAAGACCCTGTGGTTGGACGAGGTCTGAGTAGTATATAAGATATCAATATCTCCCAGTCAAGCTTGCAGGATAGTTTTGACGACGTTTACCGTATGAAGCCATACTTGTCATGCAGAAAAATACAATAAACTTCTTTTTTAAGTTATTTTCGCAGTGGGGATCCGTTTAAACGGTGCAGCTGGGTTGCATGCAGTAAGACCGAACGTTTTATTCTTGTCTAGCAATTTCCAGTACACAACCTCCTGTCCGTCCTGCAAAAAGTCCTGTTCAGGGGAAACCCTGCAAATTCTTGGGTTCTTTGGAACAATCTCATTCTTTCTTGTCTCATATTGGCGGGAAAGGTTATTACTCATATTTAGCAAAAAATCCATGCAAAAATATTTTCTTGTATAAAAAACGAACAGATGCGAAAACGCTTCTTTTTGCCGTTCGAAAATTCTATATCTGGAAGCTCAGCAATCGAAGCTTGTCAACTTTCCAATGAAATCATAGGTTCATCGTGAAGAGTATGATTAGCTTTTTCTAACGATATCCGCATCTTGTCAACCGCCTTCCAGAGAAACGAGGACGAGAATTAAAACGCTAAACTTATGGAATGGTCTAATATTTTAGTTTCACCCTTCCCTTTGCTCAAGCCCCATCCAAGCGAATTTTCGTATTTATTTCCAGACTTTTGCAGTGATATAATGGCCGGTAGCAAGTCACTGCTCACTACCATTCCTTTGTTATTTTGCTGTCTTTGTCATTGAGACAAGCAGATAAACGACCATTGTTCGAACTGGAATCTTTTTCGGCAACATTGAATTTTATGCTATCCACCCCAGTTCTATGACTTTCTGATTGACTGGAGGAACAACAACAAGGGTCTCACCTCCAAATGCCACAATCAGGTAGTACTGCTCAAGCTACGGAGCGAAACGACGTCGACGAAATTTTAGCTGCAAATAACTTATTTTTACTCATTCTTGAGGTAGAAGACGTTTCTTTGGAATCTGTAAGCCTATTTCATACTTAGTAGTTGCTTCTGGAATACATTCAGCGAGCAAGTTGCCAGTCGTATAAAGAAGTCCCAAAGTAAGAAGTTGGTTTCAACTAGGCTGATGCAGTCCCAGTACTTGGGTGTGGGCCGGCCAAACCCGACTGTTGCTTAGATGTCGTTAGAGACACAAATCTAACTATTTTTCTACTCTGAAAATTTACATCCGATATTGGGAGGCAGGTGACGTACCGCGAATTCTCGTTTGAGGGGGAAGGGGAAGCGACAGATTTTTTTCTGGTGAAGAAGGCGTGGAGTTAGGCACATTTCTTGTGATGCTTGCCAAATCTTTTGTCTGCCATTTATTCCGAAAATTTCAGGGCTAAATTGAATTGTTGAAAACTTCAAAAATTGTTTTTATTTAAAACAAGTCACTTGCACATTTTCACTACACATGTGAGTAAGTATAAAAAATTTCGCGACCCATTCTGGGATTACAGTGGGGTGCTCTGAGTTTGCTTAATAATAAGAAAGATAGTTTTTCAATGAAAGTTAATCCGAATTTTGAGTTTATAGTTTAGGAAACTCCGTAAAACGAAGTTTAACCAGCTTATGGCGGAAGTTAGTTGCAACAAAAGCTTCAAAAATCACAACATCTAATTCAAGGTATCAATTTAACCATGACATTCAGTCTACTAAATTAATTCTTGGAGGATGCATAAAGTGATTTTTTAGCATGGCACTGACTGACATTAAAAACGCGCCATTTGATATCTTCAGAAGCCTTTGCTCAAATTGCTCCAGTTCACGTCTTTCGAGAAGTATTTTTTCGAGTTCGTTTCGTTCACGCATGCACTGCGGTACTTCACAGCATTTTCCGGTTCGAAAAAGATTTTTTTATGAGTTAGTACGTGCTTATGATGTATGTGTCACGTGATTTACACGCTTCAAAAAACCTTACTTTCAGTGTTTCAAGTGAATTACGTAACTCTATGTAGCACATGCTTAAATTCCATCACTCAGTCATTCGTAATATCGGCAAAAACTGAAATAGCAACACATGAGCATAACGAGGTGCGGTACGACAGCGGTGCTCTCATGTGTTTGTGTTTACAAAAGAATAGATGATACTATCTTTAAATAAAGAAACTTTGTAATCGCTTCCGGTAGATGTCTTCTACATACTTCATCTTCCGGCACATACCTGTGTAGGCTATGCTTAGCTTAAACCTGCTTTAATAGTCCAAACGCTGTGGCGATTAATGACGACGTGTATCCCGGTGCCCACGACATAAACAGAATTATCTCCCATAGACAACTTAAATTTTTAAAGACTCTTGACAGTAAATCAGGCATCTGTATTTATTCTGCAATCGTTGACTTCTCTATGGAACCACTTAAAGGCAGTGTCCGGGCAAAAAGTCGATTCTGAGATTTTGTGCTTATCCGGGCCTATTCACTATGCTGAATATGAAAATCCACATTGGAAAGCGCAAAAAGGGCAAAAAAGGGCTCTAACGCAGGAGGGAAATTGAAAGTGGGCGGGGTCTTCCCCATTGTGAATTTCGCAGTCCCAGCTTCTGGAGCGATCTTGCCAATTCCTCTAGCGCCCTGAGATCTCCACCGGCCAGGCGCAAATGCATGACTTGAAATCGGAACCGAGAATATCGCTCTGGAAGCTGGAAGCGTAATCACAGTGAGGAGGACCCCGCCCACCTGCTAATTTCCCTCCCGTGTTAGAGCCGTTTTTCGCCGTTTTCGCGCTCTCCACTGTGCATTTTCCGATTCAGCGTAGCGAATAGCCTGGGTAAGCAAAAAATCTCAAGTTTTTGCGCGGACACTGCCTTTAAAGGCAGCATCCCGGCAAGGTGATGGGTACTGAGATTTTACGGCGTTGTAATGGCAGAGGAGTCTGAAGCGAGAAAGCGCGTTTGAAACCCTAAAATCCACTTCGGAATTTTTCCGAGCCCCGCCCAACTTACACGTTTTCCAGCCAATGCGGTTAAAAAAAGCTTCGAAAAAAAGCTCATTTTCGTCATTGTCGTGCGCTGAGATTAGGTATGGCTTCAACAAGGAGAGAAGGCTCCGAAGGTAAAAACTAAAAAAGTGACGAGCAAAATTTGCCGGGACATTGCTTTAGTAAAGTATTTACCAACGATGACGCGAATCATTTGAAAAATGGAAAACTTATGCAAATTCTCTCTCAGCGTGTTAAGTAAAGCACACATAATAATGTTAAACAAACTTATTTGAGCTTTTATGGAAGTGGGATTCTCAGCGGATTTCGTTATAAAGAAGTATGGAGCTCACGATCTTTGGAAGTGATACTCAGGATTTTTTTTTAGTTCTTGGCGACTCATGTTTGCCCGATTGGATGTTCGTTGCTCGATTACACAGTTGCTTCCTCGTTCCCCACTATCCACTTCCTTGGCGAGAAGCGGAAAACTATTGCCGTAATGAAGGAGGGCATCTAGTATCATTGAGCAATGCTCAAGAAGCTTATTTTGTCAGAGGTTCGAGCTTTCAGTTCTTTAGTAAAACCACTTTGTTTGAAAAAGCGTAATATCGAACAAACTTTAGTTGCCGAAGAAGTATAAACATCGAACAAAAGTGAAACCCTTTCAGCCTTGGCAGATCAGCACAACCCGCAGTTTTTGACCTGGATAGGACTAATCCGGAACAGAAGTACAACAGTGGACTTTCCTGATTCTTGGGCTTGGTCCGATAGTTCTCCAGTAACTTATACTAACTTCCGAGCAGGTACTTTATCATTCCAAATTTCTAAACCTGAGAATGCTCTTCACAGGCGAACCATCTGACTGGGGTGACTGCGTGGCTTTGTCCTCCTCACTTGAAATCAATGGTTGGGTTACTGTCGACTGTGAATACTCACAGTTTTACTTGTGTGAAATGCCTGCAAATGGGTAAGCCATTATATTTGCTTTGAGGCACTTGTATATTTAGCAATTCTAAGTATATTTAGCAATTCTAACTTTCACTGCATTGTAGAGCTGCCGCCATAGTTATGCACGATGAAGAAGGAGAGTTCCAGAGTCCTGGATATCCAAACAATTATCCGAATGATGTGGCCGTCAACTATTTCATAGAGGTAGAGTGCTCTATGTTTTTTCCGAAAAGCTTAAAAATGATTCGAAATCCACTTATTATCTGGTAAAATACTTCTCTGAAAGTCTTTAATGACTCATTTCTCCCTAAACTTTAGCTGAATGTGTTGTATCATTAGCACTCAAGAGACGAAAGGTAAACGAGAAATATATGAGCGCTTTTCCATACAAAACTATTTGTTTTGACTTTATTGCACGCGTGCAGAAATATCAATGGTGTGCTCTAAAAAAAGTTTTATCCATATTCGTAGTTCACAATGACCGACAAAAACTTTGAAGAATTCATTTTGAGAGCTTAAGTAAGCTTTACAATCTGTATCACTTTCTTTCATCGTATATGGTATATCAAAATTTTATTCCAAACACAGTCAGGACTCGAAAAAAAATCAATTGGAACTTCTGTATGGGCATCAATTTGGAAGAAAAGGTCACAAAATGTGAATAAAGTATAATTATTATAGAAGTTGTTGGGCCTTTAAACTTTTTAGCAGTATCAAAAAATGCAGTCAAAGTGTGCATTGTTAGCAGCTTCTAGTGCCACGTTGCGAACGATTTTTTCCTACAATTTAGCCTATATCAAACGGATATATTGTATTAGAAGTGAATTATTTGAGTATTTTGTGCAAAACTTATGTTGCAGCCTAATACAAAGCTGTTATAAGTCGAGAAGCGGGAAGGTTGAAGGCTATTTTTAAAACTGTTTTGTTTAGTTGCCTGCAGATAGCAGAGTCGTCATTACGATAGATTATATGTTTACTGAGGAATTGCGAGACATTCTTCACATTTACGATGGACCTTGGGAAGCAAGCCCAACATTGGCCAGGTAAGATGAGATTTCAAACTCAAAACTTCGGTTGAACAATTACAGAAGTTGTTCAGGCTTTCTGGTTTCCATCAGAATCACTCTTTCCTATCGCATTCAAATGTTGTGATGGCCGAGTTTTCGAGTGATGGAGAGTCGAACGGAAACGAAATAGGATTTAAAGCTCATTATAGAGCATGGTAGCCAGCAGCACTCCTGACTTATGATTGGCAGAAAATTTTCACGTAATTCAATTCAGGGGTCAGCGTCCCGAAGAGATACTGCAGCAACGAGACGGAATCATCAGCAGCACAAATTTCCCTTTGTTGGCTCCTCCATTCACTCACCAGCATTTCCTCATTCAATGCGCTGATGTGGACCACGTTCACTTCAACATCACAGGTTGAAGAAGATCAGCAAGATAGCGTTCTGGCAGTATATATTGACTTGCTTTATTTAGAGCTGGAACTATCAGGAAATGATGTTCTGGTCCTGTTCGAGGGCACTACTATCAATCATAGAATGCTGCGAAGGTAAGTCAAAAAAAAAGCTGAGAACAGAAATAATGTAACGGAAAAGGTGGAATGTGCGTGTGTCGAAAAAATAATAGTTAAACAATAGTACTAAATCCATCATCTTATTGCTAAGCGCCGGAGAATTGCCCGGTTCCGGCGAGGCCACCGCCATGCCAGCGCCGCGCCAGAGGGTGCTACCTCCTTGTACCGGCTATCCACATTGTGGCACGGCGCCAGCACGAGCTGGAACGGCACTGACATGGGCGACTCTAAAAATAGCCATAGAAATGTTATGGCACTAGGTTTTGCTTTAAATAGAAGGTATCGCTTTGTTTGCATATTCTAATTTCCTCCTTACACCGAAAGTGCTCTATAATAAGCCTAGTTTCCCAATTGATCATAGTATGCTGCGCTTATTTTAAGGGGGAACAAGTGGGAAACGTAATTTCTCAGGCAAAGATTTGTTTAGAAGATAAATATTTCTGAATATCAGCCTTGAACACGCAAATCGATTTATATAAATCTCTGATCATGTAGAGCTAGCTTGCTTTGCTCTGACCCGTAGAGCTTCAAATACTTTTTTCTAGCTCGAACAACCACGCTGTCTTAAAATGGTCATAATGGTTTTATACAAAGCAGCCAAGAGGCTGGATTTTACATTATGCTCGTGATCCGAAGTCCTTCCGGAATGGAAAAGGAGCACCTTTTTTAGGAGTTTGGAGATAATGGTAGTGGCACTTATTCTTCGTAGCGGAAGTATTGCCATAGAATTTTTTCTCGAATGAAAGGCATTAACCTTCTGAATTTTTTTTTTGAACACTTTTCAGTTATCGGAAACCATCACGTTAGTCACAATTCTTCACGGAACTATTTGCTTTGCTAAAAAGTTCAAAAACTGCTTAGTAACTTGATAATCATGCATGCCATTCTGAGAATTTTCCGGTAAAGTTTCACGGGGGGGGGGGGGGAGGAAGAGGGAGGTTTTTTTCAGTCGCAGAGTTCCTTGTTACCAGGTCAACGTCATCCTGCAGTGTAATGTATACTTCAAGATATACATTTTGTCTAAGCAATAGCGAAGCACAGATATTTTGAACCAGCTCCAATGACTTGTGACTCAACAACAGCACTTCGAAGTAAACTAAATATATTCGCACTAAAGTATTTGATAGCTTGGTAAGCGCTGGAGATAACAAATGTTATTGCTTGAGTAGCACGTACTCAGATAATCAGATCTTGACAATTAACAGAACCCTTTTGCTTTCACCTTTTCTTATAAACAACGACACCTTTGAGGTTCACGTCGACGTCGCCGCAGAGGCTTCCGGACTACTTCAGAAGTGAACAAAATCTTATTTATATCGTTTTCGAAGCAAAAGATCCCTTCGAGTTGTCTAGATGGCGACTACGATATGATTGCGTAAGAAAAGACGGTGTTGGTGATGAAGTTGTCATAGAATGAGCCATCTGCGTGTTGTTTTCCATGTGTGTGTTTTCCCTTTGTATTGTCATTCATTTGTATGTGTATCTCATAAACTCTTAAAAGTATTCCTGAGTTTTATAAATAGATACTTAATCATGGCAGTGAATTGTGAAAATAATCTTATCCTCGACGTCCGTGGGCCTTTCCTGGTCCTCGGCTGGGACCTCCTCGACCATGTCGTCCTGGACCGCCACGGGCAGGTCTGCAATAGTCAGAAATGTTAAGAAGCTCACAAATGCTTTAAGTTGTGGGGGAGGGGAGCAGAATTAAGAAAGTAGCCTGAAAAAGATAAAGTATTCTTACCCATGGCTAGGTCCATGTTTACCTCCGCGGGCGGGGCCATGTCCTCGTGGGGGCTTGGCTTCGGTTATGGCGGCTGAAAAGTAGAATTTTGATTTATGTCAATAAATTTTATTTTTACTCAGAATAATTTCTCATGATTTTTGTCGAACAAAATTTTATGACTATATTTTATTGTAGCATTTGGATGAAAATTCGTGTATTCTTTAGATTTTTGAGTGGGAATTTTGAGACATATAATGTGGCTGTTTGAGAAAACGAGTTTAGGACCTACCCAATCCGAGAATGATTGCTAGAACGAAGATGAGTACCTTGAATTGCATGCTTGCTGTTGCTTTCTAATTCGAAGCAGCCCTTATATATCCCCTGAAACGGTGTCATTATTGAACGAGATTTCCTTTGTCTCATCTGCCGAAGGCCCAACGGGAAACGATTGCGACCCTTTCCGTCCAGATCTATTGTGCGAAGTCGTCTCAGCACTACAGCCTGTGCCGTTAATCGTCAGTGGAATCAGTGTGCGCGAAATCAGCATTAGAATGCTATTGGCTCAATGACTTCGTACAATGTAATTTGATAATACACAGAATGACTCAAAAACAATTTTTCGTTTTTGCAGTTCCAAGAACTCGGATTACAGCCTTTCAAGATTCCATATTTGTTTCTCAATAAAGTGAACAGTTCAGCTGGCGGTATGTATTCATCTTTTTGGGTTCCTCTGAAATAAATCCTTCAGGCATTTTTCGTACTCTTTCATGTTTAGAGACCTTAGAATCAAACTCTTCATAAATCAATGTGCTCAAGAAATGTCACGAATGATGATTTATGATGATTTGCCATTCAAAGTACTGTATTTTCTCATTCGTGAAACATTCTTGAGTACACATCAGCTGGTTTCAGATTTGAATGCAATAGCCATGCAAATTATTTTGTTGAATTTAAAAAAGTGGCTTTGGAATAGTCAAATAGTCTCTTTTAAGTGATGCTCCCTCAATATGTAAACAAAAGTTAGCCCGCGTAGCTTTTCATCAGCAAGCTAAGAAACTTTCATGCGTAGATGTTTAGATCAAGGTTTCAGTAAATCTGGATTAGAATTGGAGTCGGGGAAGCTCGCGCAGACAGCAATCCGAAGTCTTTCCGCTGAGCGAAACGACCCCAGCTCTGAAAAGGGAACTAATCTTTCATATCTTCTTTCATAAAGTTCGCGAGGCGAAAGGAACAACGATTTAGTTGCACCGCTTTAAAACTCTGGATTACTTTGAGACACGTGCTTGAAATCTGTAAAGGTGGTGCAACAATTTATCAAAGATAACTGTCAGCTCGCTGGAAATGTGTCTCTAAATTTTGCGAACTCGAAATTCCCATAATGTTGAATGTTTATCCCGCAGGTATTAGGTCGTCCCGAAGGCAATGTCGCTTTTTTCAGTAAGCTACATTTTGTCGAAGCAAGATTTTTTAAAGATCTTGGTAGCTTTTGATGCAGCATTTCATTCTCTTTCTAATGGTTACATGAGCATTGCAAAATATTCGATGAGTTCCAAAAAAATTACCAAAATCTGCGGCCCATGCTTTTTGAGATGGTCGAGTTTCACAATTTTTTCTAAATTTTTACAACAATCCTCCGAAGGAGTCCAAGTAACAGGTGGATTAAGCAAACCCTGTAGGAAACAGTACGATTTTTTTCTGCTTTCCATATCTCGTCATAATTTTTGTAGAGATTTTTCAATGGAATTACCGAATTTTAGCAGGCTTGTCTCAGATACTAATGCATCAAACAGCGGTAAAGTTTAGGATTTTGAAACTTACAAAGATGGATTATGGTTTGACACTAATATTACAAAGCAAATGAGCTTTACTGCTTTAGATTAGCAACATTCCAAAATTTCAGGTACAGCCTGGGGCGCCCTTAAAACCTGAATTATGATGATTTTATCTCGGGAAAAAATGAATCGGAACCAAAAACAATTAGTAAAAAGAGGAGAAAAAGCTGCGTCGAATGACAGCACAGTAGCTTATCGGTTGTTGTTCTGTGAGGTTTGAGCTGACCAAATATGGATTTTGATAGCACTCAAAAATTGTCTAGAAATTCTAAGAAACAAACTAAGGGAAAAAAATTGTTTTGTGTCCTATAGGATTTGCTCTATTCAAACATTACTTGTTCATCTTCGGGGAATCAGTACAAAAATATAGAGGAATAGCCGAACTCGACCATGACAAAAAGCATGAATCGCAAGTTTTGGTAATTTTTTGAGAACTCAATGAATATTATATAATTTGTAACCATTAGAAAGAGGACGAAATGCTGCATCGACTGATCCCAAAAGCTCTTGAAAATCTTGGTTCCACGAGATGTGGCGTTCATTTGAAATAAGCGACATTACTTTCGGAACGACCTAATATTTCCAAAAATTTACACGGCTCTCTTAAGCGCTGCAGGTGTCTATGCATTTATGAGTCTTAAACAGCTTTTGACGTAAATAGCAAGCAGTTTCGGAATAAGTATGCATTTATGACAGATTTTGGTTTTGCTGGGATTATTACCTGTCAATAATCTAGAATTTTATGCGGAATAAGTGAAAATCTCTTTAGTCTAGTAAACGTCTAAGCCTACCTGTAGTTCGCAAGTACCAGTGCGTAACTATAATATATTGGTGAATTTAAAGGCATGCAGAAAACTTTTCTCTCTCAGAAAAACCCCAGAATCTCGGTATCATTCTATTTTTCTCGTATCCTTGTTTTTCCCCTTTCAAAAAGCTTCGCAAAAAGTAACCTTTTGGCCTCTCAGCAGCAATGTCTTTAAGTCATAGTTGAGCCGAAAGGATCGAACTTTTCACATAAAAGAGTTCACTAAACTTTTCGCACTAGTCATCATAAGACTGTAAGATTCAATAGATAGGTTGTGCTTTTTGGTTCCTTTATTCTGTTGTGAACTGATTTGCTGTACGAATCACTGTCTAGATGAGTTTATTACAAGGTAAACAACAACAAGTATCAAACAATGAAATCATTATTGACATGTAAATTATCCGAAAGCACCAAATCCTCCCTGGCCGATTCCCGGTTGGCCGAAGCCTCCCTGACCAAAGCCTCCCTGGCCAAAGCCTCCCTGACCAAAGCCTCCCTGACCGAAACCTCCTTGTTGTCCGAACCCTCCCCGATTTGAACCACCATTACCAAATCTGCCATTTTCGAAACTTTCATGTCCATGTTGGAAACCTTCCCGCCGTGCTCCGAACCTGCCACCATGTTCTCTACTGCCTAAAAAGAGTCGGATAGTCATACAAGAGATGTGTTTGACATTAAATATCCATCGCAAATGAAAGGCATAACTCACCCCCGCGATGCAAGTGCCTGAAAAAAAAAGAGTTACCATATATCAATTGTCTACTCAAATAACTTGAACGTCATATACCAAATTTTTTCTTGCCTCCTTATCATTTTTTAGCCACTCAGTTTTCACTGGCCAAAATAAAGTGAGCAAAGAAATTAATTTGTTATTAGAAAGCACTCTCAGACGAGCTTTTTTTATCCGTATGCTGTGTATGAGCGCTTCTCCTTACTTGAAAAAATTCCTAGGAATGGTTTTTTAGAAAAAGTTAAGAGCGCTTCTCCATGCGATATTTGCGAAAAAAATAGAGCACAACAGAATAAAAAGTTTTATTAGCTGTTCATATTGCTACTGGTTGAACCGAGCTCATTTGAATGTTAATGTTCTTTTAAAAAATTTTGCATAAAATAAATAGGTGGCTAAAATAAAACAGGTACTAAAAAATTACACAATTACAATTGATTATACAGGGTGTCCCAAAAAAATGTATCGAACGTTTGATTATTAATATCTCTCTTCTAAAGAATTATTTTCTCTTGCTTCAGGTACCAATCTGTAGAGCTGGCTTCAGCTTAGATTTGCATTATAGAACGAATCCCTCATTTTTCTTCATTACTGTAGGACTACGGTAGAAACTTCAGAGAGGGTTTTAAGCAATGAAAGACCATATTTTGCCTCAGAAAGGAAACAAAACAGCCAACTTTTATACCAGACTAACTAGAAATGCTGATTATAACTGTAAAGTTTCCAACTTATTATGATGCTTCATTGAAGAGTTATGCCTTGAAGAGGAAAGAGATAACGGCCATTTTTTCAATGTTCCTAAAAAGTGCGGTTACACCGTTTAGAAAACTTCGTAATCTTGTAAATAGTTGAGTATTGAACTCAGCGTCCATAAAAACCCTATTACACAAGTTTTCACAGTTTTTTGAAAAATGAAACGGCAGCTTTTTCCACATTGACACCATATGTTTCAAGTTTCTACCGTAATCCTACAGTAGCGAAGAGAGGTGGGTGATTTGTTCTATAATGTAAATCTAAGTTGAAGCCAGCTCTACAAAACGGTACCTGAAGCAAAGCAAAAAACTTTTTGAGAAGAGAGATATTAACGATCAAACGTTCGATACATTTTTTTGGGACACCCTGTATATTGTAATCTTTACCTGTCGCAAGTGTCTTCAAATGATCATATAGTTAGCAAGAACATGGAATTGTACGCATTTTTTCCATTAGCAAGACCCACCACGAGTGCAAGACTTATTTACAGTTATTGAAGTGCTTCATAAGTAACACATACTTTTCCGTAATGATGAGCTTTGGAAGTGAATTCGAAACGTAACCTTTCTCTCTTTTCTCTTATCACTATTACTCTCGATGTTCTGATTCACACTTTGAATTAGGCAAAAGTCCTCTCAAGAGCTGAATTCGCTTAGATCTACAGTATAAGGCGATTCATTGCTAAAGTTCAGCAAGAACTTTCAGATTACAGCTTCTTTGTGAATAATCGTGTTTCAGAAAAAAAACTTTCCAAAAAATCTGAAAGTGGCGTACCAGGGCTTTTGCTCGCGTTGATTTCATTACTTAACTGTTTACAATTTATAAGGTTTTCTCAGTTATAATATTAGAGAACTCTGTAAAAACAGCTATTGCGGTTTACAAAGCATAACTTATGAAGGATGCATTGCGGTGAAGTGCAAAGTTCATATGCAGATTCAGCAACTCTAACTAGTCTGCTATAAAAGTTTTCAAGTTTTTAGTTTGCTTTCTGAGGCGAAATAGGGCTCCCAATGGCTCGCAATCCTTTTCAATTTCTTGCCGTACATTTTTTGAGACACTCTGTTTACCATAGCAGTAATGGTCCCAGGATTTCCGTTCGGCGGATGGGCGACAAAAATATTAACAGCGCTAATTTGAATTTTTCAATAGTGTTGAGAAACCATTCAAGCTATTTACAAGTTCAAACAAGCCACTTGCCATTTCATAACCCATGTGAGTAACTTTAGAAATTTTCGCGACCCATTCTCAGGGAGCCCCCCCCCCCACCCGCCACTGATAATAGGGATAGATTTAGATTTTAGATCCCTATAGGCGCGGACATACTGTTATAATTGGGAAGACTATTGCAAAGTCTAACTCCCTTTGTTAACCCAGTTTAGTAGAGCGATTTAAGTATGAAGGAGAATCTATAAAGAGCTTACCTGTCAGAGCTTTGGCTATGGTGATGGTGACGACCGTGCTGCGGCTTGGCCTCACCCAGCGCCACTGAAGGGCACGAGTAACTTACAATCAGCTTACACGAGTAGAAAATAAGTCCAAAACTTACCAAGCCCCAGAATAATGGCCAAAACACAGATGAGCAGATGAGAATGCATGGTTGTGGCTACAAGGTGGACAGTTCTCATTATATATCACCACGATGTTGTCAAGTGTAATATCGACCACGATCTCCTCTCTATCGCACGCCGCCGGCACTGCGGGATGTCAAGATGGCGTGTGAATCTCTCCTACGGCATATGTGAACTATCTGGTCATTCGTGATCGCACAGTGACCACTGACATGAATCTTCACACGGATTGCGTGAGAGTTTTGTCCCACTGATAACTTCAGGTTGATGCAAAAGTAATGAGAGTTCCTTATCCTGTTGCGGCAGAGAAAATACGAAGTATAAAGTCATTCGCTTTTTGATCCATTTTTATTTTAGAATGTTAGCCATAAAAAAATTACGGAAAGCGTGCATGCGAATGTCTGTTGTGGATAGTATATGCGTGATCGAGTTGAAGGCTCTCAGGATCTTTTTTGAGCGGAGTTCTGATTAATGGGCATTTGCATTTGGATTTTTTCCCAAACTTCAAGTAGATCGAATCTTTTGCTAATATTGTGCCATCTAATAGAGCTTGGTCCGTTCTACCGAGTGATATGTTTCTTTCTTTGGAACTTCTATGAAGCGACGGGTAAACGCTCATTCCATTATAACGACCAAATACTACAGTGAACGCAGGAAGGGAGTGAGATGTCTCCAGGCCCCGAGAATGTCAAACTCGGCATGAGATAAATTAAGAACGCTTACGTTCAAAATACAAGGTGTCCCAAAAAGATGTGCACACTGTTTGACCGTTAATAACTCTCTTGCTTTCATGTCTTTTGCCGAGCTGGAGGTATCATTTTAGAGTGAGGTTCAACTTAGATTTACAGTATGGAACAAATTATCAGTCGTTTTTCATTACTGTAGGATTACGGTAGGAACTTCGAGGAGGATTTTAAGCCATCGAAAGTGACTTTTGCATCAGAACGAAAACAAGACAAGCCAGAAACGTGCTGGCCTAACTAAAGTCGCTGATTTCAAATATGAAAATAGCATTTCAGTATAGGGACTCTTTCATGAGTTATTTCAAATTTAGGGTAACAACTGTTTTCTAATGGTCGTCAGAAATGTGAGTACGCCATCAAGAAAGCTTAAAAAACTGGTGGAAAGTTATGCAGTGAAATCAGCACGCCTAAAAATCTTGCTACACTAATTTTCAGATTTTTTTGAAATTATTTCTTCAGAAGACCTAATGATGACCACGGTACGATGTGTGCTGAAAGTTCATTCCATAAGCATACAGTAATGAAGAGCGATTGGTGATTCGCTCCATACTATTAGAAGCAAGAGAGTTAATAACGCTCAAACAGTGGGCACATCTTTTTGGGACACTCTGTATTATGAATTTCAATCACCAGACCAACTTTGTAGAAAAAATTTTCACGATTCTTGACATATTTTCTTTTGACCACCACTCGTTTGTAATTTCTGTCATGAAAATTGTTCTCCCGTCGCAATTCATAATACCTTAACCGCTGACTCAGCCACCTTTCACCCTGTATCCATAATTGCCCTCATTCTACTAGTTTCCTTCCATCGACTCTATGCGACGATTAGTCATTGTCTTTGCATTTCCATATTCGTACAGATATGTTGCTTCTTTTTGTATTTATCATACTCATTGGTGCCTGATTGACGCATGTTTTGTTGGCTGTGTTCTTGCAAGGAGTTAGCTCGCAGTGCGTTATCGTAATCATCCCTATCACGACACATTAATACTCTCATTTTAACTAGAGTTACAGTAGAAGCTGTACCGCCGCACTTCTTAACTCTTATGCATTTTCAAAACTCAGACACCTAACTGTACAAAGGAAAAATTCCAGACGAGGGAAATAACTGAACCTATCTCTTAAATCTTCATTCTTTTCGCTACTGCAAAATTGTCGTGTTGACTGAGGTGACTTATCGCACAGTAAACTTCTCAATGCAGGCAAAGGAGAATAGTAAGATTAGTGGCAACGCAAAATGATCACTTGAGCAGAATTCGATACCATTACTTATTTTTAATTGTAAGTTGCTCTTAAGATACCATTCAGCGGTTAAGTTATCACACTTTTCTGTGACAGTGGCTAATATAAACTAAGGAAATCCTGCTAGTTCTTTGATTGGTTAAAGAATTTCGACCGCTTCCAACAGTTTGTGGGAATGTTACAAAATAATTTGTAACATGGTTGTATGAGACCATTCGAAAGAGCAAATCAAAAAGAATTGGATGGTCAACTTTTTTCGGAAATCATTCTTTTAGTGAGAAATGGTGCAGAATAACATGTGTTGGGTGTGAAATGTAGATTTGTTACTCACACAACGATTTTTTCGAGTCTGCAATCATTTCCATAACCATAGATGATATAGATTGCCCAAAAGCTGACTTCCACGCGCAAATAACTGGAAATTCTCACATTTTTGGCTGCAGAAATTTACAAAGAGCAGATCACTCTCCATTGTGGTTCGCCATGTACCTGAATGTGGTATGTATTCAGTCATCAAATCACTCATCGCGCACTAGTTAGAAGCTAAGAACGAAATTTAGAAAATTAAGAGTGCCTCTAGAAGGCTATAGAAGGGCATAATTGTCAATTATTGATAACGCAAAATTTTGAGTATGTGATGTATGAGATAGAGGCGTAAAGCGACCTTCTCCTGAAAAAACTCCTCCGCAAATTAACTGCTAGTTGAATTGTTATAAAGCTTCCAAGTTGCATATTGTTAGCAACTTATTTAACTTATTTATTAGTCAATCTAATATATTCTAGCCCGTTAGATAGATAGAACCTTGTTCATCCATGGTACGGTGATGTGGAAACAATTATCACAAGGAATCGGGAAAACTTAGAGGAGTCAAAGGTTTATTTGTTTAGCCTGGAACGGACAGAATAATGATAACTGCTCTAAACGATATCCAGCGCAGTTTCGTCTCCCAAATAGTGCTAGAGTCAATGCAAAAGAGTTTTAAATAATCGTTATAATCTCTTTGTTCTAATGAGCGCATATTTACGTGGAATTCTTGATATCATGAATATAAGAGATGAGTGCACATGTGATTAGCATTAACAAGGCTCGATGGTGTTTTAGTATGAAAACTCAAATCAATGAAAGCTTTAGCTAGTATTTGTGCTATGATGCATTGAGTAGTTTCAAAAAAAAAGTTGACTAATAAGAACATCCTTCAAAGGATTTTGAAAAGCCATACATCTACACTAAATGGTTCGCTCTATGTCCATGCGATGCTTCCCACTAGAATGTGTTGGAAATAAGGTTGAGTTGCGCATGAAAAATAGGGTTTAAGATTTTAGGGATCCACAAGCCCGTAATCGCTTGCCATGACTACTGAAAGAGTAGAGAAGCTGCTTGAACACTATTTAGAAGGCTTACCTACCATGATTGAATCGGATTTGCGAAAGGTTGAAATCAAGGAAGTCGAGGAAGTTTTCATTATTTTGAATCACTCTAGTTACCCCTTAGGTCACTAGCTTCTTGCCAATGAAGGCAACTTCATCGAGCATGAAATGTTCAAAATAGTTTAACCCCGTTTATGAGACTGAATTGTGCCTTATAAGCGAATATAAATGATTAAATGAATAAGAAAACTATTCATTTCGAAGCATCTAGTCTGATGAGCTTATTTTGGGCTATACATGCTGCTCCGAAAGGCGCAAAAATTAGACTACATTCTCACAGAGGCATAATATTCATGAAAACTAATTTCAATGTTTTCAAAATCCTGCTCATTTTGTGCAGCCTAGTAAGGGAGAAAAGTGAAATATGTCCAAACATTTTAATCTAGATCTTAATCGAACGAGCATGATTTTTGTAAGTTTCATTGTGATTTTGCACAAGTTATGCTCACAAGTCAGCTTTCGTCTATCTGCACGCATTATGCACCTGTAAAATACGTGCAGAACGTATTTTGCTCTAACGAAGTGTATTGTGTTTGCACCAGAATGCCCTATGATCAACCTTTCGAGCTTACAGCAGCCACTTGACATCCAGGCCCGTAAGGCTTTTCTGTGATAAGGGAACACAAAAATTACTCAGGAGAACATTTATGCGGACCGATAGGATAACCAATTAAAAAATCCGAAAATTGCACGTATACTAGTGCCTGAATATAACCTCATAATTTCTCCCGAGACTTCACTGTAATATAGGCCTATGCTTATTGGGTCCATCTGGAAAACTTGTGATAGATTCTGTGGGCATATCCGAGAGCTGCGAGTCACCAAGCAGCTGATAAGAAGCAGACAGAGGATATCGTTTCTTAGGTGTGGGCAACCTCTTGGCTACTACTACTAAATTTCTATCAAACTAGTGGTTTCCCAGCATTCTCCGTACGCGAGCGGCGAAACAGAATTTGAGAATCACAAACATTGCTCAATAGAGGCTATTTAGAAGCTATTTATATAGTCACTGTCATATAAGGTGTCGGGACCTCTTTGCAAGCTCATTGTGGGTCCGATTGATACAAGGTCGGAAATACAGATTTGAACTTTGTATCGGGTTATTATAGGTGCATGCTGTCGCCATAAGACCAACGTTTCGTTTTTTGAATTAGCATTGCTATATGATAGCATACTGCCGAATATGTTGTCACGCAAAATCATTGTGCTAGCGGTACTCGGCATGCTAAGGGTAGATCTTCCCCTCTCTTTGGACAAAGTGGTGAGCAAACTACCCTAATTTCACGCGTACAAGGCGCGGGGGATTTTTTCCCAAAATCGACCAGCCCAAATACGCCAAAGAATTTCGCAAGCAAAGGACCCTATGCTTGCTGTATATTGCTTGTGAGAATCGTACGGCATAAGGATCGCTTTCCGAAATAATTTAAAGCGGCTGAGGGGCTTAGTCGAAAAATCGAATAAGGTGCGCCTTGTACGCGTGAAATTAGGGTACTTATTTTGACCCCAAACAGATATTCGTTTTATAAACGAGCAGTTGTCGATTCTGTACTCGTTTATTTGCAGTAACGTAACCTTTCAAAGACACCGCGAAAGTGGTAATTTGTAAACTCTAGCCTTCCTTGTCACGCCGCAAATGAGACTTCACCAACTCTAAGAAATTTATTTATTGTCTTTTTCCTTTTCATCGATTCGAATAACCAATCAAAACCTGGACAAACTACAAAAAACTGATCAAAGTACTGGTAACGGGAGCGACTTCAGCAGTTGCCGAAGCTTAATTTGACCAAAACAAAACCGGTAATCTACCGACATTCGTAGAACTTAAATTCAATGACATTCCTATCAATGTAAGGATTGTCAGTCTTGTGAGCTTTGGTGGCACTGAGCACTGTTAAATATTATCGATAGCCCATCAGCCCTTTGAGCGGTCGTGATTTTGCTGGCAATATCTGCAAACACGGCATTTGATAAACATTGACGCGCTCATCATCTATCGTTCATTCCAACAGGTTTAGCGGCACATATCACTAGAAGTCTAGTCAGTAATCGATGTGAATATTCCAAATAATTGCTTTTGATATCCGTGTCCCATTATGTGATGCTTGGGTGCTTGCATAGATAGAGATAACAAACGGTTTTAGGATTTGTGAAAACAAACTTGAGTGAGTGACCGAATTCGACTGAACCAGTGAAAGAGGACATTCGTGATGCTGCGGCGTTTAAAAGCGCAAGTTAGCCAAGTCGCAAATGAGGTAATTGGGTCTTTGTTTGCTGTTCTCCAGTTTTTTATTTCGGTTTGCTGATTCTCTTTTTTATTGCTGTGTGATTGTTTGATCGGAGTAATCGTGCTATTATGTTTAGTGACGACTTGAGATTCTTTTTTCTAGTTGCCCGGTGTACTTTCTCCTTCTGCTCGTGAGAATCGCGACGACTCCTCATTTTTCTTGGCCTCTGATACTAGCCAAAATAATGTCGACGATGAGATTGAGGGATTTCTTTGTCCAATATGCATGGTCCATTACAACTCTCCTGAGTCGCTCTCGGAGCATTTTGAGGAGGCCCACAATAAGGTGAGGTGATTGAACATCGCATTTCATCGCATGTAATCACTTTGTCTTTATAGGATATATCATTAGTCAACCCAAATTTTGACAGCGCTACCACTATCTCATCTAACTCCATAGGTAGTTTTTCCACTAGTAATTAATGGCTGAGATCGATTTCGCTGCAATTACAGGAACGAGTCCTGGATCATTTTCGTCGAAGGACAAAGAAATAGAAGAATTGAGACTGCAGATCAAAGAGGAACACACTTATGCGGAGAAACTCAAGGTAATCACATAACATTCCCGACACCTGGATTTCCTCTCTTTTTTTAAGGAAGAACTGGACCGTATTCAATCTGTGGTTGCTCAAGCAACGGATGTTCCGCAGGGTGAAGTGCCATACTTGATGCAGCAAATTCAAGTGTTAGAAGCTGGAAAAAGCATGGGTGAGTAAAGCATTTTGGTCGATGTTCCAGCTTCCAGTCAATTGATTAGTAGCGCTATGCCGAATTGTAGATATCATCCAGTTGTTCACTGTTTCAGTAACTCAGCGCATGCTAGAATTTGAGAAAGAAAACGGACAGCTCAAAAGGTCTGTGGAAAACGGCAAACAAGAAAGAACTGAAATCATGACTAAGCTGAAGCAGCTGAGTGGTCAAATCAGAACTCTGACGGATGAAAATGAAGGAATCAAGGTCAGTTTTTGCCCTGTATGCTTTCTCTACTTGCAACCTAATCAAATTTTTGCTGTTTCTGTTCTAAGTTATATGTATACCTCTTACTGCTTTTGACAACTGGTTGTTTACTGCTAGCGTGTTTGAATGCACCATCCGCACAGGCTATCATAGCGTGGATTCATAGTTGCCAGTAATCCGAATTTGATTAACCATTAAGTCTCAGACTTTTTCGATGTATCTAATGCCCCGGACAGACTTCACGCGATTTGATCGTCGCGACTGAATCGCGACGAGACAACTGTTACAACATCCTTCCATGCCGATCAACTTGCATTTCGGTTGAGATACTTTTCCAGCCCGAAATTATTGAATGTGAAATGAAAATGAATGGAAATGTCGGCGATTGAGTCGCGACGATCAAATCGCGTGAAGTCTGTCCTGGGCCTGAAGTGGAAAGCTGTTAGGACTGTTTCGCTGCTCAACCACACTTGCGCTTCGCTTTTTCGTACCAAGGGGAAGGCAAATATCTATCTTGGATTGAGCCTATCTCCATCCATTCTAGTGCTCGCCTGCGTTTGCAAAGGTCCGGGGTTACTGTGGTTCAATTCTTTTCCACCCCTTTGACTCCTATTCGGGCTCACCTTACTTCAGACTATAGGCCAAGAGATAGATAATTCCGCAGATTTTTTGAATTGAAGACAGTTTATTCTTTAAGTGATGACACTTCAGCATTTGGTCGCTTCACCAAATACAGCTCATTGAGAAAAGATTAGCTCAAACGCGCTTAATAAATCTGCCTCTAAAATACAAGGGTTCCGCAAACGTCCTCATACAAAAGTGCAAGTATGGATAGACGCACTACGATTTCACATTGCTTTAGGTTGAAAAGGAGGTCACTAGCAAAGAGCTCGCGAAGTTCAAGACGGATAATGAGAAACTGGAGAAGGAGTTGGATATGCTGCATAAAACTTTAGATCAAAGGTAATTACTTTTAGTTCTTCAGTATCTCCATTATCTCTGAGAATATCCCCTACAATCTTGAATTAGGGAGTTTTCAGACCTAGTGAAGATGATGTGGCGGTGTTACGCACCGAATTGGTTCATGCTCAGAAACTTATGGATGAGATCTCCCAGCAGAAAGATGTCGAGATTAACGAGTACATAAATTCAGTCCGCCAGTTGAATATGGAGAGGGAAAAGTACGTTCCTGACAGTAATGGCTGTATCCTAGATAACAGTGGCTGTTGTATTTAGGCAGAAGTGCGTCGTAGATAATCTCCAGAAGCAACTCGCCGACACTAGTGGGACTTCGAAAGAGTAAGTTCATGGTTCCCTCTCAAGCATTCTCATGCCAATAACTGGGTCATACTGCTCCGCTAATCATGCTTTTTTAACGCCTATTTTTCTGCTTTCTTTACAAACAAATTCCGAGTATGCCGTGATTAACAACCTTTGCATTTTATCTAAGCGCTTTGCTGCAGGAGCATGAAGCACCTTTTATGTTACCATCAAGGCCCATTGTTTTGTCGCTCATTATGAATATCCAACTTGTCATTTATAAGACCTTGCATAACAGCAGCCGAGCAATTTTTGGCCGCCCTTTTTACCTTTTTGAGCATACATTTGTTTGTTGGAAATTAATTTTTTTTGCTTTTTTTCATTTGCAATGAAAGCTGCACATAAACTTTGGTACACCGAATTGCACCTCATCAAGTCTCAGATTCAACGTTATAGTGGTGTATAGTTTTGCTTAATAAGCTACTTTCAATTCTACTGCTAATAAGCATGTAATAACTGTCGAGCTACCGAAGTGAATATGTAATTTGTCTACCCATAATGGGGCAGATTTGATGATCCAGGTTTTTAGACTAGAAATGTCATGGTGTGGAACAAATCTTGTAGACATTTTTCCTCAATTTGTGAATAGTCCTTGATCTTAGATGAATTGCCCTCAGGATCAAGCAGCTGTTCCAGGTCTGCTGAAAAAATCCGTGCTTTGGTCACTGAGTTAGAGGACACAAGGCAGTTGTTGACAACTTGTCAAAAAGATCTTGAAGATGCAAAAGGTGATGCTGTGCAAAAGGGGAAGCGTGTGGAAGAACTTCACGGAAAGTAAGAATTTCTCCTTGCTATGTTTTGCAAGTAGTACTTTACACTGCAACAACTGGATTGATTGATTTGTTTTTAGAATCGAAGCAAACCTCACTGAACTTACTGCTTGTCGTGATAAAATTGCTCAGCTGGAGGAGACCGTACGCGTTAGTGCTCGTGAGATAAATGACTCGCATGCGATGAACGAAAGCAACCTCACCAAGCTTACCCAACTTAGCGACAAACTTGAACAGGTTGGAATTTTGCAACTTTTGGTTCGGTATCGTTAACTGTAGAGAAGTCCGTTTCATTTTTGTTTCAGATGATCGAAGAGAAGAAACGATACGAGGTGGAAATGTCCAAGTTCGAAGAGAAAAACGATGTACAATCTAACAGTATCAGAAGTGTGAGTAGCATTGTATTGCTTACGTCATAGCGTTTATATCAACTATCGAATGTGGTCATGTGCGAGTGTTATTCTTCGATTTTCGCATAGTTTGTTGCCTTGGATCATTTAAAAGTTTGTTGCTAAATCAGTTTATTCGCGCTTGGTGATCTTATACACGTGATCCCCTTCTTTCTTCTTTAACAGATCATGAATTCATAGTGAAGGGCAATTTTGAGCATGGAACAAAAATCATCGCCGACATGACAGGCTTATCAGCAAAAATAAATAAATATCAAGTCTTTATAACTCCATGAATTTACTTACAGCTGGAATTATCGAATATGGATCTGACGAACGAACTATCCTCGCTGGGCTCTTTACTTGAGCATGAACGACAGTTGATCAACGAGAAGGTACGATTGAACTTTCTACAGTATTCCTACATTCGTTCTCTCAGTACACTTCACTTTTTCTGTTTTCGCATGAGTACATATCTATCCGATTTGTGGATTAGTGTTCCCGATAACGCTTGTATCGATCCCTTAAATGAGTCATGCCGTTACGAGACTATATACATACATATCCTTCAAATATTTCCTCATTCTCACACATCTACCACCTTTGCAAGCTAACTCTGTTTATGACTGCTTTTCTAGCTTTTTTTTTCATCCTGAGTCACATAAAAATTGTGTCACTGAGAATCCGTATTATCTAGCAAAATTATAGCATAAATCCATCTCTTGCAGAACACCCTCATTGCATCAAAAGATCAAGAGCTGTTTTCTATGCGCGAAGAACTGGAGAAAGCACGCATTGAAAATGAAAAACTATCTGGTCAGTGTGCGTCAAAATCGGCTGAGATAGAGTCCATATCGAAACAAGTGATTCTTCTGCAAGAAAGCTCTAAGGAACTCATGCAAAAGGTTATTCATGTTACTTAATTAAAGATTGCAATAGGTCATTCATGTTACTTAATTAAATGCTAATGTGTCCTGTTTAGGTTTCTGAAGGAGAAGGCGGAGCTAAAATGGCACTGGAGCAGCTGAGCGAAGAAAAGAAAAAATTGCAAGAGAAGGTTGTGCAGCTCACCAACAGTCTCAATGAGGAGGTGGGTTCGGCAAAGCTGGTAGCGAGCTGCAACAACAAGTATTTTGCAAATCAACGTGACATACTTCCTTCTTTGTTGATTCTTACTACTCTCCAGAAGAGCAACTTTCTGGAGAAGACCAATGAGCAAGAAAAAGCATTCCGCGAGGAAAAGAGAGCAGCTGCGGAAAAGCTGAAAAAGGTTGAAGATCAAAGGGAGGAGCTAGAAAGAAGGTTGCGCGAAGCTGAGGATGATAATAATCGAAAGGTATGCAGTGGTTAGGTAATGAAATCGAAGATGTGATTATATTTGTGTTATAGGCGGAAAGATTTGTTGAAATGGAGAAGGAGATAGATGAAGAAAGGCGGAAGTCAAATGATCGTGTAAATAAACTCAAAGAGGTTATTCGTATGAAAGAAGCAAGTGCACTGGAATCAAGAAAGCAGTTTGATGAGGTGAGCTGTTGTGTTATGAAACATTTAGCAGTGTTATTTTTCCTTTCTGTTACTTGATTCATATGAAAATAGACCATTATTTCCTAGTAAGAATTACACAAGATTTGCAAACTGGATCCCTTCTGCAACGTAAGATCTGGTTTTTGCAGCTAAAAAATCGCATAGCATGAGCAGTGAATTGAATAGATATTGTATATTGCCATATTGGTGTTGGTTGTTCGAATATTTTGATACATCATAAAATATGTCGAAACTACTGAAGTTCTTATCAAGTCTTGTTTGTCCAAAGGGGCGGTCAAAAAAAAAACTTCAAAGGATTTCTACTTATGCATACGTGTTCTAGCTATCCGCTCAGTTATCCGATAGGAATCGCATTCTTCGAGAAAAAGAACGACAGATTGAAGAAAATCGACATAAAATAGAAGAGTCTGTCAGGCATATTTCGGAAGCGGAAATGAAAGCTAGGAAACTGGTAGGATCCATTTCCGGTCCGTGGGTAAAGATATGGATGTGATTACTTTAAGGAAGCAGAACTCTCACAAAGTGAAGCGCAACGGGTAGCTGTATCAGACTCTGAATCCGAGTTGCGTAATAGACTCAGCGAACATGAGTCGATGCTGGTTACTCTGAAACAGCAAGTAGAGAAAGTGAGTGTTTTTAGCTTTAGCATGTGTATTCCGCAAGGGTTTCCGGGATTTTGTTCAACTTCTCGGGCATTTTCATCTTTTCACCTTTCTCTGTCAATAACATGTGCTTTGATTAACATAGCAATTAGTTGCGATAAGTCTTTCTATTATGTTGTTTTTGTTAAAGGCATTTTTACAGTTGACGGCTGAACTAAATGCAAAAGACCAAGCTCTGCAGGATGCGATGAAGGAAGCGAGTGAAAAGGAGGAGCACTGGAAGAAGAAGCGTGAAGAGTTTGAACGCCAGATTGAGAATGATCACAAACACAACGAAGATCTTTTGAAAACTACGAAAGAACTGCAAAGCTCTTTAGATTCTGAGAAGGAGGAGAGCATGGCGAGAAAGGTTCAGTTCTTCATCCCATATTGCATACTGTTCTGGAATTCGTGGATCTTATGCATCATTTCGATGTAGGCGAAAATCGAGGAACTGACTTTGCGGACAAATGAAGCATCCACTCGTATAGCTGAACTGGAAAAGGAAGCCGAAGAAAATCAGAAAAAACTCAAGATCCTTGAGGAGTCTGTGGAAAGCCTGGTGAGGAGAATGGATTCGCGCATGGTTGCGTAAATTTTGGCCACTTCTCTTTTGTGTTCGTTTTTTATGATCTGGAATGTCCTCGTTGGGTGATGTTCTTGTGGTTTTCTAGCTTATACTCAATGTTCATGTACTTTTTATTTTGGATCCATCCTTGTACTTGTAGAGTAAGCAGCTGCTGGAGGAGAAGGGACGGTCCACTGAGTTACAGAAGAAATATGAAGATGAAGTTGTCATGTTGAAGGTAAACACTCAGTCGATTGCTTGCATAATTCAAATGATGTGCTCTGCAGTCGGTTGAGAACGCCTTGTGCGATTCTAAAATTGAACTCGACTCGTTCAAGAGCAGCGCTGACACGAAACAAGCGGAACTGGAGTCTCTCGTTCAACAGTCAGAGTCCAAAATCTCAGAGCTGGTCGCGGCTGTGGAGGCGAAGGAGCAAGTATGCATCCACATATAGCTTGTTTCTGCTTGTTGAGGATCCGTTTTTCGCAGGAGCTTCTCCATTTGACCAATGCTAATTCTCGACTACTGGAAGATCTTTCGGAGAAGACGAAAGAACTGGATGGTTTCACCGACCGCATGGTAAATTTTTAAATTCGGTTATGGTGATACGGTATATGACTGACCTCAACGTTTTCGTATATGAAATTAGAACTATATTATTCATCTAAAACTTGACCCACTGTTCGCTGATATCTTCACAATTCGCCGTGAAGATGTTTTTTCTGAATCCCTTTCTTTGAATTCTCATTTCATGGTTAGTTATCTTGACATGTGCGTCCACGACGCATCTTTTATAGACCAAGTTCGAAAGCGAACTAGCTGATGAGCGTCGGAAGTATGAAGCGCTGGAAGCCGAACGACAAGTAGCTGCTGAAGAGTGCGTTCTGCTGCGAACGCAGAACACTGAAGTGTCGAAAGTAAGTAGCATGGAGTTTTCTTATCGTTTAAGTCGAAAGAGATGAACTTCTCGAAGTACTTGTTGAGCTTATTTATCGCTGCAGGCATCGAGCGAAACCATAGAACAGCTGAAAAAGGAAGCCGAGGTATTACGCGACAGTGTTCTAGCCAAGGAAGAGGAGCTGAAAAATGTTGGTTTGATTCCTCAATTTCTTACCACTTGTATTTTCTTTTCAGATGAAAGCGAGGTGCACTCAGTTCGAACAGCTTGCTAAAGATATACAGTTTTCAATGGATCGTGAACTGTCCGCCAAAACAGCGGAAATAGTAAGTCGTTGTAGTACAGTGCGAGAATATGCCTAATTGACTTTCATCAGGAACGATTACATTCCACCGCAGCCGAGCTAGAGGCAGCTGCTGCCGCAAAAGAATCTTCATTGAGCCAGGAAATTTCTGCTCTGAAGAGATCGATAAAGGCTGTTCAGTCCGAGTTGGACGAGCAGGTTCGAATTTCTGCTGAAGCGGCGAAAACGGCGGAAGAACTCACCACTGCAAACATGGGCAAGTCGCTGGTCATACTAAAGCACCTTGTAATTGTAAGTCTGGTAACGTGTATGCTCATCATTGGCAGTTTCAGAGCTGTCGAGGAAGATCTCGTCATGGGAGGAAGAGAAGAATGCGCTCATTGAGAGGTAATTTCGGACTGGATTTTCAAGCTGACGAATTCATTATTAGATGCAACTTCTGATACACATTAACAGATGTCTGAACACCGAAAGTGATCTGGACTTTGAACGGGATCGTGCGTTGGAAAACAAGCGACGCTTCGATGAAGCACTGTCAGCAATGCATGAGTTGGGAAGGGCAAACCAGTCACTGCAGGTAGGTGCAGAAAAACCGCTTCACGGTGGGATCTCGCTTCTTCGAAACTTAAATCAGAGAAATTGACTCAACATTCTTGTTTACTCAAAGGCAGCATCCAGGCAATCTGGACATGTGGGTATCTCACGTGGATAGTAATTTTGGGCCCTAACTAAGCCACTGCCCAACCGGCAGCCCAGGTAGTTTCGCATGGATTCAGGGCGCAACCCATCAGTGTTGCGGACCCCCGCGAAACTGATGGGTTGCGCCATGAATCCATGCGCATACGATCCTGGGACCCAAATAAGAGTGGAATATCTAAGCCTTAGAGCACACCTGAGCTGCCGGTTGGGCAGTGGCTTATGGCTTAGTTAGGGCCCCAGAATTACTTTCTTCGTCTGGACGCTGCTTTTAATTTGAGTAAACATTTTTTAATAGTCGTGGATTGTTTATACGTTTGAGTAATCAGAATTTTCAAATTCAGTTTAGCCGTAAATTCCTTTTCGGTGTGGCTGCCCCCTCCCCCTCCCCCTCCCCCCGCAAAAGTTTGGGAAGCATTCCAAAAATATTTCCGTGCGTGACTAGCGCTAAGTGCCTCCATCTCAAAAATTTCTTGCCCCTTTCTCCGCCGAACGGAAATTTCGATTGCATGATGCCAGTTTGTCCTGCATTGCCCATGAGGTTTGTGCTAGAAATGTGGTCAGCTGAAAATCGCACTATTCCATTCCACGCACCTTGGATTAAACTTTTTTTCTATCCAAATGAGTTGCCGGACGCTCATTCGATATCATAGTGCCCGCATTAGCAAATATGAAATAGAATTAGGTTTTTTTGTCTAGAGAATTTATTCGTGATGCTGATAGGTCACTGATGTTGGCTTCGACGTTTACGGTTTTGAGCTTACGTTAATTGGCGCGTCTTTTTTTTCGAATAAAATGATGTCAGAGAGTAATGTTTGGTGTTTTCTCTTCAACTACGGCGAGTTCTTGAGGAGATATAACCGTAAAGTCATAGTTGACATTGTCGATGTTTCCAAAATGTGAATGAAAGACGCCCAGAGGCCGCGGAACGCTGAAATAATTGGATCGAATCCCGGCCAGTATTCCATAGATATCAAAACAAATCTTTGCATAACTAATCAGCTCAACATGTATCATCGGCTCCACAATTCGTGTAGAGGCGGTGTTTTGCCAACTCAAAGCGTGGCGGTTTTTGATAGCAAGATAGTACACAAAACAATGCTTTGACGTGGAGGTTTAGCAAGTTTACCTGTGTTATCAGGCAAAGTCTGCAATACACCTCTACACGAATTGTGGAGACGATCATATTTATATTGATAAACGAGCTGGCAAACCCAGCTCCACTCGGTCCTGTCAATAATGATTCGAATCAGCATGTTCTACCTTCCTCCCCACCTGTACCCCCTGCACACCCTGCACATCGTGAACACCCTGCACACCCTGCACACCCTGTACATCCTGCACATCCTGCACACCCTGCACCCGAATGTGCACAGACAAACTCACAGATTTTCTCCTTTATATATAGAGATAGGAATTATGAGTTTCGCTAGTTTCGATAGTAGCGCCATTTGATCCATGGACAGCATTCCATTTAATCCTTCTACCATACGTGTGCAAAGGGGGAACATGGCCTTTCCAGGGTGAAGGGGGTATGAGGGCCGCTGGGGGGGGAGGGAGGAGGGGAGAGCGGCCGCGGCTGTGGAGGTGCGTCGACCGGGGGGGGGGGGCAATGTTCGTCATCATTGCTTCTCATGTTCTTTTCATTCACATGAATCAAGTGAAATTGTACCCAAACCGGGTTAAAGTCGAATATTGGGTTTTATCCGCTGATTCGAAGAAGAAAAACTGGAATAAGTGAGACTAAGAAATCAAAATTTTAAGCAAAATTATAAATGTATCCACATTATTAAAATTGAACTTAGTAATATTTTAATTCCTAATATCATTAATATGATCATCAAAAACCTAAATGCAGGCTCACTGAGAAGTACATCGGAAATTTGCCGCCTATTATTCACTTCTAGAGAACGATAAAAAGCCTGGAGAAAAATATACGTGTGAAGCCTTTGTGTATATACGTAAAGTTATTACTCACGTATTTGCTGAAATAATAAGTGAAATAATAAATGAACTTTGATGATCGGTGCGCAGTTAAATTGTATTCTTTTTAAGAGGTATAAATTTTCTAAGCAGATGGCGGAATCCGTGTAAAGTCATTGAATGATTCCTTAAAGAGTCATTGTTCCAACTTTTAATATTATTTCTAAACTCGAAAGAGATCGTAACATTTGCTAGAGAAGCAGGTGCAACAGAGGCACCTATTACGTCGAAGAGTTGGTGTAATCAGGGTTAGACTTACTGTCAAAATGTTATAGCTACAAGGATCGTGGAGTTCTACAATCCGCCTACTCGGACGATGATAGGGATGAAGCAGCCAGAGATGCATTTTTCCACCTTGGAGCACTATACAAGAGGAGAATGACAATCGTATATGATCACTGCATGATTATTCTAAAAAAAATTTTGTTTTCCATCGAAGAAGATTGAGAAATATAAAAGATCTTGAAAGGAGAACTCAGTCATAATTAGCCTACTCTAGTTTAGAGGTCTACTTTCCATCCGCTTTCAGAAAACATACAGCTTGCCAGGAAAAAGAGGGTTTTTCCTGCTAAATAGAAATAGTTTTAGTCATTTTTTCAGAATTGTAGAATTTTTCTATAAAAAATTGTAAATTTTTGATATGAGAAGATAAGAGAGTCTCTAGCCATACATTGAATTACTCTTGTTGAAAGCTTCCAGAAAATATATGCTTACCAAGAAAGAAAGGATTTTCCTGTATTGTGAAGGTGGTCGCAATTGTTTTTCAAAAATTAAGTCCGGAATTAAGCCAATTTTTAACTTTAAAAAATCATAACAATTTTATATGAGAAGCTGGGAGAGTGATCAGGTGTTTATTGAATTCCTCTCGTCGTCCGCTTTCAGAAAATATATAGGTTGTAGGGAGAGGAATGCTAAAAGTACGTGGTGAAAGGGGGAGGAACATGGTACAATGGGCATGTTCCTTTAGCTCCTTAAAACGACGCTTTTTGAGTACAGAAAGGAAGATTTCCATTATACCATGTTCCTCCCCCTTTCACCACGTACTTTTAGCATTCCTCTCCCTACAACCTATATATTTTCTGAAAGCGGACGACGAGAGGAATTCATTAAACACCTAATCACTCTCCCAGCTTCTCATATAAAGTTGTTATGATTTTTTAAAGTTAAAAATTGGCTTAGTTCCGGAAAATAGACTGCGACCCCTTTCACCCGATAGGAAAATCCTCTTTTTCCTGGCAGACTACATATTTCCTGAAAGTGGACGACAAGGGGATTCCAATAAAGTGCAAAGCACTCTTCTAGCTTTTAGTATAGTAAAGTTATGAATTTTTATAGAAAAAATCCTTAATTTTAGAAAAGCAATTGCGACCACCTTCACAATACAGGAAAATCCTTTCTTTCTTGGTAAGCTATATATTTTCTGGAAGCTTTCAACAAGAGTAATTCAATGTATGGCTAGACTCTCTTATCTTCTCATATCAAAAATCTACAATTTCTTATAGAAAAATTCTACAATTTTGAAAAAATGACTAAAACTATTTCTATTTAGCAGGAAAAACTCCTCTTCTTCCTGGCAAGCTGTATGTTTTCTGAAAGCGGATGTAAAGTAGACTTCTAAACTAGAGTAGGCTAATTATGACTGAGTTCTCCTTCTAAGATCTTTTATATTTCTCAATCTTCTTCGATAAAAAACAAAATTTTTTTTCAGAATAATCACGCAGTGAACACATGCGATTGTCCTTCTCCTCTTGTATAGTGCTCCAGGGTGGAAAAATGCATCTCTGGCTGCTTTCCTCATCCCTGTCATCGTCCAAGTAGGCGGATTTTAGAACTTCACGATCCTCATAGCTATAACATTTTGACAGTAAGACTAACGCTGATTACACAAAGTCTTGGATGTAATAGGTGCCTCTGTTGCACCCGCTTCTCTACGCAAATGTTACGATCTCTGTCTGAGTTTAGAAATAATATCAAAAGTTGGAACAATGACTCTTTAAGGAATCATTCAATGACTTTACACGGATTTCGCCATCTGCCTAGAAAATTTATTCCCTTAAAAGGAATGCAATTCGAATGCGCACCGATCATCAAAGTTATCCATTATTTGACTTATTATTTCAGCAAATAAGTGAGTAATAACTTCATTGACGTATATACACAAAGGCTTCACACGTAAATTCTTCTGCAGGCTTTTTCATCGTTCTCTAGAAGTGAAAAATAGGCGGCAAATTTTCGATGTACTTCTCAGTGAGCCTGCAAGTAAATTTTGACAATCATAATAATAATATTCAGAATCAACATGTCACTAATTTGATTCTAATAATTTGGATAGTTTTATAATTTTGCTTAAAATGTTAATTTCTTAGTCTCACTTTCTCCGGTTCCTCATCGGCCGTGGGTGAAGGGGGGTCAGCTGGGTTCCGGCCCCGGGGTGAAGGGGGTAGGAACACATTATCGCCTTTTCACATGTATGCCTTCTACTTGAGGTAGCTAGTCGTATGGAGAAGCTGAAGCTTCAATAAGTCCTTGATTTCGGCATAGTCACAAAAAAACGCGATCAAGTATCTCAACGATCAAGAATCTAAACTGGAGAGGGATGATTGTTTTTCATAAGAGGATAATTACAGCTTTATCATAGCGAAGTTCTGCCAAAGTTGCTATAAGCTTATGCCGATATTTTCGTCCCTGTTAGATGTGAAGAGAAAAGAAATTTGGCCCACACACTTCTTTTCTCTAGAATCATCTATTCTGAGATTGGGGAACGTCGGTAAAATTTTGTAAGGAGGTTTTAGTCAAGCAAAATAAAGGATCATCATTACATCAATTCCTACTCACTCATATTGTTGCTGATAATTAGTTCCCATGACTATGAAAAAGCTTTTAGATGGATATATCTAAGCATACGTCGCGGACATGGTTAGATGACTCTGCTGCAGTGAATTGCACCAATTGCGGCAAACTATTTAGTCTTACCGTTCGAAAACACCATTGTCGTGTTTGTGGTCTGATCTTTTGTGGACCATGCAGCTCGAAGACTGCCCAGTGAGTTTAAGTTTGCTCTATGCATCGTCTGATAGCAATATTTGCAGGATTGCTAGTCACAAAAACCCTGTGAGAGTATGTGACAGTTGCCATACGGAGGTTCAAAACAGGTAGAAAGAGGCTGGTTCGGAATTTTCAGTGGTGCTCACATAGACTTAATACTAAACGTTGGTACTTGGAAATATCATCTGTCACTTCTTCATCTTCTTGACTGTGTTCAGTTGTGCTCTGCATGTGTAATATCTCATTATGTGATTCTGATATCAGCGATAAATTCTCCATACACTTCTGCCCATTTGTGATGTAAACTACTTCTTACTCTATCCTCATCATCGGTGCATTGTTACATTTAGAATTTATTGAATCTAGAGAGTGATACATATTGTGATATTCAATATTTGTGGTAGGCCCTTTTGCATTTGACCTGAGTCGAGTGTCGATTTACTCCCTTACTAAAGTCGAACTTACTAGACTCTGATTGTCAAATTCTTCAAGTGTTTCATCACCGTCTAATCTGCCTTTTGCCATAATTTATTGTAAAGTTGAAAGAGTTTTTCATAAATATATCTATTTTAATAGTGCAAAGTTGTTGAAATCCTTTACATCTGATAGACCTATAGGGCTGTGCAAAATAGTTTCGCTTTCCAATCCTTTTCACCCTTAATTTTCAAGATCAGTTATACCGTAGGTCCTTGCAGTGCAACTGACTGATCTAGGAAGCGCACGGAGCGGCACCAGGAACTTTCGGGAACGTAGTCACGATGGCTTCGCAAAGACATACAATATCCTCTATGAGGAGCTCATAAATTAAGAACTTGAACCAAAAGGGAAAAACAGAACACATGAACGCCAAAGATTACCAAATAGTGATTTTAGCCTTCAATAAATTTGCGGCCAAATTTACGTCCTGAGCTTCATAAACGAAAAGGTTTATCGTTTTATATGCGAAATAATACATGGTCATTGTATGTGTTGGCGGATAATTTCTGTTACACTTCTATTTTATCTCTTGAAAATCTAAGAAACTTTTGAAAATTCTTATATTTGAGGATTACTGACGGGGTGCAGAGGCCTACGCGCCGGTACTGTCAGATCCGCGGTCCGCGAGCAAAACATCCACTTTAGCGGTGGAAGTACGTTTTATGGACATTTTTGTCAGCGGGCTGACACTGTTCTAGGGGATCTGGAAGAGATCGGGTGATATGATGATCGGGCTGATATGTTCGTTCTATAGTTTTTGGTGAATATGGAGGGATGGCAAAATCATTCCGCACACGATCACATGAGCTACATGTTGCGCTACGTCAGCGCACATTCGCATTTTAACATGAAAAACAGTTTCTGAAAATTTACGAAAACTACTTCCATTCTCTCCGTATGAAATCCTACACGATGCACACAAAAAGAAAAGTTTTCGACGAATTTTTCATTTGTTTGTCATCCCTTGTTTTTGGCGTGCTAGCGGCAACAAATAGCTGCCTAAAAGAGACGATCCGAAAATATGTTCCAAAAAATTGTGGAAGAGAAGAAAGCAATAAACTCAAAGAAAAAATCCAAGAAAAAATGACAGTTTTAAGTGTGATTGTAAAGTTTTTGTAAATTTACTAGCCATTTGTGCATGCGACATCAGTCGTAATGTTGTGTACGGCCCTGCCGTGGCCTACATACGAAGCAACTTTGAAGATTCTAGAAAACCTAAAATTTTTCAGAATTCTACAAAAAAAGTGTAGAAGAAATTATCCGCCGACCTAATACATAGGCGGAGACCAAATAAGACCAAATAGCAATACACGTAACTTTGGACTTTGAGACACGACATATAGATTGCGAGTCTCCGCCACTAGAAAATGATCCATATTCGAGGTGGGCAGTAATGGCATTCATCGTTATGAGCAGCATCGTCTGGCCGGATCCGGCCACCCACCATCATCGTTATCACTACCTTAGTGTGCGGATTGAGAGAAATGCGTTAATTATTGTTGTGTGTAGGTGACGCAAAGGCAACTCTGCTGCAAATTCATGACGGTCTCCTTGTTATTCTATTCTTTTTAATAGAATTCTTCGAGGCAATTTCGTTCCTAGGGCATAAGGCCACTCGGTATTATGTCCAAGACGCTGATTTGGCAAACAATCAGTTGTAACAGTTAATTACTTATGTTGCGAGGTTGATCGACTCGCTTTTGACTTGGACGAGCAGAACGCTTGAAAATCTATCAAATAGCGAAGAGAGCGAATCAAGCTATTGCCTCCCCTCTTTTTTGACCGGAAATAGTGTAAACTTACGCATTGATAGATATCCCGCTCCAATCACATACGTTGTCATTTGAACTATGTGGCGAAAAATGCATCGCCAGGTTGTTGCGGCCACAGATTTGGTTGGCCTAGGAGGGTTTCAACATTCTGAACACTGAAATGCTACCATACTCAGTGGCGGAGCCCTTAATCAGCTCCAAATACTTTTTTTGCTCTTTTGTTTTATTAGATAATTAAAATGCGCTTTTTGCTTTTATTGTTATGTTTTAAATAGGAGTTTTTCTACTGACTTTCACGTCAAAAGGGACTTCGTAAATTTTCGCGAAGTCATGGGGGTCTTCGTTTCCAAAAATTTCCCGAATCAACGCGTTCCCGAGTCCCGGTACTAACAAACCATCATGTATTGCCTGCACCTCTAATGAATGCTCATGCTTCTTTTGCTGAATTGTCATAGTGTTCGGCTCCCCCTTTTCGTGCAACCTTCTTAGAAGCGGCGTCGATGGTAACCTTTTGCCCAGAAGTGATAGTTCTCATTGACAGCGATTCCGCCAAATGCAAGAGAAGGGATGCTCATGTTGCTCATGTCGCTTTTCTTTGCGCAGGCTCTTCTAGCAACTTGTTCTGGTATAGGCTTTGAATCGTGGCGTTTTCGTTCTGTAACTTACAGGCATGGGTTGAAGATTGCGGCGCCTTCGATCCAGCAGCTCAAATCAACTAGTAGGTTGTAAAAAAGTTCCGAAAAATGGAAAGTTTGAGAAAATTTCTTTCAAATCGTTGTAGCTTCGTGCAGATTGATGCTTTTTAGAGCTGCAAACGTACAAAGACAATTTTTGTCTACCACATATATTTGCCTTGTCTTCTCAGCACCGCATTGTGGACCACCAGCATGCGAAGAAGGAAAAAAGTGACGCGAAAAATAGCGTGTTTGTGCAGGATAGTCTCAGGCAGGATGAAAGCTGGAGAGCCGAGATGCTGTGGTTATACAGAAGTCCGCTGTGACTGTTACGAGGACCGTTCATGTTTTTAAGGGACCCCCGAAAAAAAAAAGTTCGCCCAGAAGGTTCCAAAAATCGACCATTTTTTGCCCTCAAAGGTGCACCATTTTTCGAGTAAATGACTTCGAAATCTTCTTCTGCAGAGGACGGGCCAAATTATTGACTACTGCAAACAGTGTTGGGGTAATGTCTACGTGCTACACGTCTTTTGGACCTATCAGCCAGGCGTGGCGATCACTGCAGAAGCGACGCCAGCTGCGGAAAGAGCTGCAGTCAGAGGCAAGTTCATCAGGTCGTAATTTTAGAGCGCAAAACGCAATACTCGAATGCAGCTGCAGGTCAGAAGCCCCTCGTTCGAATCACCTATGATTTGGACGAAATTCTTCGAACTGCGCAGAACAATGGCAGCAGAAAAAATTAGTGAAGTAAATTTACATGATTTGAGAGGTTTCCTTTTTTGATGTGCAGATCAAACATGGCATGATTAAGCGTAGGTGCAGAGAATATGAGATAGCTATGTTGTGTCAGGCTTTGTGGGGTATGCCACGTACACTGAGCCAGCTGCCAACGCTTGCACCAGCACACGGTTGTGGGTATTGCACAATTTCTGAGCCATCCCTAATTGGGTAAATAAATAGAAAGGAAGCATTTTATGAGAATGAAATCAACTATTACAGAGGGGAAAATGAAACCTTACGAAATAGAGGGTAATCCACCATCGAGAGCACAAGCCGACGAGTCTACTCGAACAGCTAGTCCTTATACTTCCTATGGCCTGCTCGTGTCTCTGCGAGCCTTCACATCTCAAACAACTCTGCCCGATGCAAGTTTAGCGATTCCATCTAATCCCATGTCGAACTGTGTCCATAAGGAAATGCTACGTGGAAGTGGGACAGGATAGCTCTACCACAATATATCGGCAAGAAGTGGAGAAGCCGTTAAAGCAGCTACCCCTTCATTAAATTATGCATTTGACCTACGTCAGTCTCCAAGATGTCAAAGTTTTTGAGTTGGACCTTGTGACTGAATTTTCAGGGCCTGAGCTCTCGAGAATTTGTGTAATTCCAAATTCGCTTTGGGCGTATCAAACGTTGCGCCAATTCTCCCCTTCTCCTCGATGAAAAAATTTTCCCGCGTGTATCTTATGGCCACATGCATTGACATCCCCGCCGGGGAGGGGAACGCAGCTCAAAAAAAAGCTTCATATCCTGAAGCTTTGAATATCTGGATTTCAACTTTTCTACCTATTCTCACCCATCTTTACTATCAACATATTGAACAGGAGCGAGTGGTTTACAAGAAGCATTTTCCAGCTTTTTGTTTAATCACTGATGATCCCAGGCGGCCGATCGTCTTTTCTTCAAAGTCATTTTTCTTCCTTCGAAATTAACGAAAACCTTTAAAATTGTACTGATTAACCAAACCATCAGTTAAGAATGCTGCTGATAAGAACAAATGAATTTTCAGAAGTATCGATTTTTCGATCCCAACTTCCTACTTGTGGTTCGTCGCAGATTTCATGACGTCGATAAATTGTTTGTTCTCAACAACAACATGTTGAGCATTTTTGGTTTAGTGAAACAATACAATTTTGGGACGTTTTCATTGCATTCAAAGAAAGAAAAATTTGAAGAAAAACGTTCGGCCGCCGGAAATCATCAGTTGATCATACAAAAAAGCTGGAAAACGTGGCTTGTACAGCTCCTTGCTCCGTTCAAGATGTTCAGTGAAGATTGGTGGGAGTAATAGATAGACAGTGTGAAATCCAGATATCTGGTGCTTCACGAGAAGCTTTCTTTTGAGCTCATTTTCCCCGGGGATGTCAATGCATACGGCCCTTAGGCCGGTATGCACTAATACACCTGCGGGGAGGGGAGCAGCGTCTCCCGATGAATGAGCCGAATGCGGACACCGCTGCGGTTTTTTCATCACAGGGGAATCCGGTCTCCTCGCCGCAGAGATAATAGTGCATACGGGCTTCAATGTACACTAATCCAAATTTTTTGCTTATTTTCCCTGTTATGAAAAGGCATCAAGGTAATGGGAGCTCTGCAGGCTTCTGTGTAGTCGCAAGGGGTTTTCTTGTTTTGAAATAATCAAGGGAACAAACTCAGATGTAAATTAGACCTGAATTGATCATTATCAAATTTATAGAGAGAATAGTACGCTGTGCGCATATCACCATAGCACGAATGGCAAAACTTCGTAGGTCATGCGCCCTATTACTACGATTGCTTGTCCGTTGTTTGTCATTCATTGATTCGAAATTGATGGCAAGGCGGACGACATCTTATTGGCGTTGCTATCTATATCATTCTATAATAAA